TATTATAATGTTGCGCGCCTTTATCGGATTGCATAATATTCATTTTTTCTGGACAACTTCTAACTAGATAATGAAAAAATACTTGTAAGGCTTGTTTATGAGAATGAAAAGTGTGGAGACAATTTGAAAAAATTGTGTGTATTGTAGACAAACAATCCTGACGGAGTAATCCACACGTCATTTCAAGTTGTGTAAACAGAACACTTTATTTTACAAAGTGGTGATAGGTCTACTATTGTTTTCTTCCATTGTTGCAAGTCAGATTTCAACAGCCTCTAAAATTTAGTGCTAATAATAATTTTCAATATGATAGAAAAGTAGATTTGAAAAATGAAAATTTTGTTTGTTTCCCTGATTGTAATTTATTCTGATGATAAAATTGAAATCGCAAAATATCTTCCACAACAAATATTACATGTATTCTTTGGATATATCTCTTTTCTATTTTTGTAAGATATTGTTTATCTCTGTAGCTTTGAGGTAAAATATGAATGGATCGATCGCAGTTCAGAATTTCTTCACTAAGCTAAACTTGGAAAGCTTTTGAAATTTTGTTTGGCCTTTCAGAAGATGAAATTTGACAAAATGAGATTTTTTGTGAACATTCGTGCTCATGACCGATTGATGTATAATTTTGTTTAGAATGCTTATTTGCCATTTGCATAAAGACAAAGCAGAGCATTTCAAGTCAGGCTTCTTTTAGACCCTATGTCAAATGTCGGGATGAAATAAACCGAGGCCATTGGCTTCCATGTGAGACTGTTGAAGGTTGCAGGAAACAATATAACTGTCCCCGAAGATTGATCGATGTCGGAGTCGAATCATTAATACTATGAATTTCAAATGATTCGATGGCTTTTTTCCGGTTGACCTTTTCAGATTATGCATTATCCATGGTGACGGAGGAATATTATGCATAAAATGAAAAGGGAAAGGACTGATGGAAATATGAAGACAGAAGAGAAAAGGAGAAAAGAAAAGACGAGATGATAATATTTCAGGAAAAAAAGATGCAACGACAGGGCATTTCAAATTTCAAGTTGAAGTCATAGTTTTCCGTCATTTAACACAAAATTTGGTGCATTATTTTTCCAATTATTTGTCACAGTGACTATTTCTATGATATATACGTCAACGGGTTTGATGGAACGGAAGATGGCGCTGATAGGCAGATGGTCCCATCCTGTGGGGCTCAAATTATGGTTTGTTGGATAATATTCGACCTAACCTCATCCCGCCGTTTGCTCTCGTCCCAATACCATTTTCTTCTCTTCCTTTAAAATTTCCTTCACTCTCAGTGATTTCCTTCACAGCTCTTCACTTTATCCTGCCTAGTCAACTATATCTGTACTTTTATTTTAAACCAACAAATATTATTCATAACTATTTTTTTAAAAGAAGGTGAAGAAAAAAAGGCAGACTGTGATGTGATGAATCTTCGAATTCGTGCCTCTTTGAAGATTAGAGGAAGAATATTTTCAGAAGATTCATTGGTCATTTCTAATCTATCAGCTAAAGATATATTATACATAATTACTCGTCAGAATATGATCCCATTCACGGCGCCATTATCCTCAAAATCATTCTATAGTGATGATCTCTAACTGATAAAAATCAGTGGATGACGCCGAAATTTAGACTCTACCCATAACAAAAATTGTTTATGAGATGTATGATGAGGATAGAGGCGATAACTCACCGGTATCAGCGGAGTTTTAGGGATATTTTCACCAAATTTTAATAAACTTGAGAGATTGAAAAATGTTTCACAATTTGTTTATCACGTAGATAATTTTACGGTTTATAGGATTCTAATCTTTTCTGATCTTTAGATCAATGAAAACTGATCAAAATACAATGGAAGCTCCTTCAAAGACTTCATAACATAAAGTAATCTTGTTAACTATCATGTCATATTATCATATCATTCTTTGCTTGCAATTTACTTCCCTATTATAATCTTTCCCTTTCTTCATTATCATATTGATCAATACGACCATTTTAGCCTATTCATCACTCGTTTTTTATGGATGCGTATACTATATGTTAATGGCCAAAAACTAAAATGAAGAGATCGGTGACCATTTCGATAAGCAATCTTTCTCCTCCTCAGAAATTTTTATTCCATTATTCTGGAATGGATGAATAATGCAGCTTTAGTTCAGCTTCGTAACCAACATCAATCTTTCATTTCGTATTATACCTCATTCTCTAGATCTTCTCATCTTCGTTCCCTAATTATCCTTCTTATCCTTGACGGGGTCTTCGACGGATCACTTTTCGTTCCAATAGAATGAATGATGGATCAGCATGAATAAGATACGATCAGGCCTTTCCTGTCATCACTTTCTACCATCATTCTATCTATTTTATTTAGCGCAACGACGATATTTTTCTCCTAAAGTTTTGTTACTTCTTTGAAATTATTACTTTGAGAAATTTGTTTTAGTAAAATAAATAAAAACTGTTTGGGATATTTTGTCTGAGATATCCAACGGATATTTTGTCATTTCCAATGAAAGCAGTATTAACGAAAATATTAACTAATAGGAACCTTTCTTTTGTTCAATTTTCCAAACTTTTTTGTGAATTTTCAAGGAAAAGAGGTTTTTATCATTTATCATTTATCACTGATAATGTACCATCTTCTTCTGTTATTGAGAAGAAAATGAGAACTGAAAATTATTATTCAGTAGTGAAATTTTTTACATTCGAATAGTTTAATCCAATACTTCGATCTGATGTCTCCTATCAATCAGTGATATTACCATAGTTTCAATATTAGTGTATATACACTGTAAATAGCTTCCCACTGTTTAGAAGAGGACTGATTTCCCTTTATCAGAACTTGGTACTTTGTTTGGAATGAGTTAGAAAAAAGGACAAAAAAAGAAGCTAAATGATGAACCTTCCCGTTTTTATAACTGATAAGAATCAGTTATAACAATAGGGAATCATTGTCTTCCTTTGGTATTAGCGATATTTCCGGACAGAGCTTTGTTATAACAATGATTGGCGAAGCATGCTTTTCATATTTCAGATTTTTTCAAATTCTCACTGACTCATTAAAAGGCTTATTTTTTGACAAAATTTGGGAGACTATTAAAAAAGAGACTGTTCGAACGATATTTATTGCATAATAAAATGTTGTCCTCTGCTTATAAAGTTTACGGGTGACTGACTGAATATGAAATTTATTAATCCACAGTGGCCTAGCAACTCTTCATTTAAAATTCCTTCGATGCTTCTTAAAGGCTTTTTTAACTTTTCATCCTTCAAATAACTCATCATTTTAACTGCCTTTTAACTAAATATGGTACTGACAGTACTGGCGGAGGCCTTCACAGAAATTTTACCGTTTTTTTAATTCCCAAACTTTTGTTTTCCACTAAATTCTGGTTCTTTACCCCTTTCTTCACAGCAGTATTTTTTTGAAACTATTATGTAATAATGATAAATGTGTCGATTATTGTAATCCAAATATTGCCTTATATTATTTCAAGGAGGAATTAAATGGGAGAGGATTGACAATGTCAGCTCTATTGCCACCCTTGGCATGATTTCCATTTTGAATTTTGATACTATCTTCTCACTTCATTAATTCTAATGAAAAAATATGCCTTATTGCGACTTTTTTCGTTCACACTTTCATTTAAAAGAAGAAATTTATCCCAACAATAATATATTTGTTTATTTAAAATACATTTAAATTGCTTCCTTTCGAAGCTTTCTTTGCAATTTAATTCTTTTCTATTTTCTCTAAACTTTCAGTGTTACCTATTAATTCAACTGAGTGATGGAAACAAAAATTAAGCTTTCAATTTGTCGCTATTTTATCGATCTATTCAGCAACCTTTACAATAGTACTATGTGACATCTCAGGATATTTACATTTTCAACAATCCGAATGGAAAGTCATTATCTGTTGCTCAATTGAGTTGCGATATATCCTTTAAATGCATTTCAATTAAAAGAATTTCTTAATTCGAATTGAGTTGGCCATTTTGTTCACCAACTATTACATATATTGAGAAATTCCTTTTGCTGCTTAGACTTTTTTCGGCTATTGCTGTTGAAGTGCAAATTCATCGATAATTTTGAAATAACTAGTTTCAAACGTTTGAAACACTTTCTCAATGAAAAAAATTGTCTTTGATAGCAAAGAGAGAGAGAGAGAGAGAGAGAAACGGGAATTAGATGAACCGTCTTGAAATAATATCGACATTTTGCTGCTTCAAATAAAATGATTCTATTTTTTTATCTTTCCGCAGTTTATTTTTCATTTAAAAATGGTTTTTTTTTCCTCGCAATTTTTGAATTTTATTTTAACTTACTGACAGCTCTTTTTGAAATATAAATGGTTGAATAGAGTGGTGAGAATTTATTCTGTCTAATGGTTAACAACAGTATAAATGTAACGTAACCAGCTGGGAAGATTGCTGAAATAGCCCTATGGCTATGCATGAGGCGAGCAGTTCTTCTGATGGAAGAGATGAATTGATGGATATGAGTTGGATGAAGAGGGTTTGTTGACTCAAATTATGTCCTTCAAAACAACTGAAAATTGAAAATGACCACTTTTCTTTGAGAGCAGAAAAAGAGAGTTAAGAAAGGAGCAGCAGAGAAATAGAAAAAAGGAAGTTCTCCTCTTTTTGCTATATTTTTCACAGTTCCATACATTTAATATAATCGAAAAAGTTGTTAAAAATTCCGTTCATCTATCCGTAATGGAACTTTTAACTTCTGAGACATTTTCTGTTTTGCTATTGTCGATCGGTCCAAGTTACTTTTCCATTCTTATAGCAATTACTTCAATTTTTGCTTCCTATTTTAATAGCGCTTTTACTGCATTCCATTATTTTGTCTCAAGAAGCTCTTCATTTTAGCTCTTCTGAACGAATCATTTCGCCGAGAAATACATCATTGAGAGTCAGATTCACCCATCTGTGACAATTTGTGATGTCCAAAATTCCGAACTGGTGATATTGCATCATTAGACGATGATGACACGTTATGGAGAAGTACCGATCTTCTGCATCATCGTTGTCTCATTGCTTCAGCTAGTATTGACAATGTGTCCACAAGAATGCGTATGTATATCTGAGGAACAAAAGGTGACACATTGTGACAATGCAGCGCTAACTGACATTCCAGCTTTGCTAGATCCACGAATTACGTCATTAGGTATGGTTAATTGTACACTAAAACGACTGGATCCGGATATTCTCGAATTGTATCCTGGTAAGTTTTCGATTTATCAATAAAACTTCAATAAAATAAAAGGATGAGAGTTTCTGGTGATAAGTAACATTAACAAATTCTAGATCTGGAATATCTCGATTTGTCTTTCAACAAAATCGATATGCTTGATATGAAAATTTTTAAATATCAAACAAAACTTCGAGTACTACGTCTCAGAGGGAATCAACTCTCGTCACTACAACTTGACAGTTTCGTCGGCTTAAGCCAATTACAAGTGATGAAATTCTGAATTTATCCAGCAAAAGTGTAAAATGGCGCAGACAGCTATGAGATAATAAATTTCATGAAAGAAAAAAAGATTGTTTGATTAACTTAAAACTATGTAGTAACTTCGATAAATGAAGTTAGAAGGCTTTTTCAAATCGATAATTGATATGATGAGTTACGCATCATCAGCAGCTTAGCATTGACTACCGTTTAGGATGGTCAATTGTTTTTAGGTATAGTTAATAATGAAGGATAGCAATTATTGATTTTTAATCTAATTATAATTGGTCACAATATCATATCGATTACTTTGGAAATTATATAAAGAATTTTTTATTGCAGTGAATTTGAAGGAAAGGAAAAGGAAGAGAAGGGAAGGGAAAGGATGAGCCAATAGTTTAGGTGAGGGAATAATTGCTGGACGTCATTAATAGGATGAGTGTCATCAAATAGACAGACAAAATTTCCTTTTCCTTCTTACTCCACTTTGTATCGCTGTGTACATCTCAAATTTCATGTTTTGAGGCTCCTTTGGGGAGAATGTCAATTTCCAAAGTAATTACGGGAATATGATGAAGGAAAGGGAGAAAGGGCCTTTCTAACCCATTTTTCACTTAATAACTGCACGGCAGAATGCTTGCATTCAAATCTCAAAATTCCTATTATTCATAATAAATTTGATTAATCATTTGATATGAATGATTGGAATCTTATCTTCAATTCAACCATCAGATAGTAAAATAAGAAGTATCATCTGCAGATATTTTGTGACTTCTTGGAAAGTATAATGACTCGAAGTTTTTTTAAATTTACGGAAGGCAGAAAATGTTGTTAGAATTTAGAAACGAAAAGAAAATTGCACGCAGATAAGGCATGATTGTGAATTTCTAATTCGATAGCCAATGGGAAAAATAAATATTGTTAATCACATAGCTAAAACAAATAAATTAACTAAGAATGAGCGATAAGTTTTGTGATTGAAATACTGTTGATTTCACCTTTTTGAACAATTTATGCTATGAAAGTATATCGATGCTGATTACTATTAAAGTAATTGTTAGTTCCGTGTCAGTGAAAATAAATTAAAAATTGAAGAATGGATTTAAAGATTAGCATTACAGATGCTTGATCTCTCCGCAAATCAGCTGAGTCAACTGGAGCCACTTTCATTTCCGGAGCTAATTCATCTTCAGGAGTTAATTGTATCAGATAATTTGCTCGTAACATTACTACCGAATACTTTTGCTGGCTTAAAAAATTTGCAACGGCTAGATTTATCCAACAATCGGTTGCATACAATCGCTCAACATCTGTTTGATGATGTACCAACTTTGCATTCGCTAGACCTCAGCCATAATAATCTTTCATCAGTAAGTTATTAAACTGATCGTTACTTTCTGATTGTTCAAAAAACAGCTTTAAACAATAAGTAGCACACAAATTGTCAAATATAACTTCGATCTTGGAAGTCTATTTAAGGGACTGCCTCTACTTCCCTCTCGCTCTCCCGAGATTTCCGGTAACATTATACGTTGTTTTGCTCAATATTTCTCTCCCTCACTTTCTATTCCGTAACACGTCCATATTCACCTATTGCGTTTTATTCAAAATATATTTAGAGGAAAACATAGTTTTTTGAAAAAGAAAGTCAGGTTATAATAAAACAAAAGTTCTTATTGCAGATAGAAGCAGACACATTCGCTAGTTTGACCTCTCTAAAACGTCTTGATCTTAGTTCCAACTCACTCGTTGAACAGTCATTTAATGGACTCAACAGTTTACAATATCTTAACATTAGTTATAATTTGGTATGTTTGAAAGAGAATATGATTAGATGAAGTTATGCGAATTATTTAATGATAATTTGTTATTCGTCTTATCGTTCCTTCTTCGGGTGCTTCGAAAGGAAACTAAGACAATCATTGATTCTTTTTCCCGAATTATTCCAAATTTGATGTTTAAAATAACATAGATTAATGAAGAATAACATTTCTTCATTCTCTCTTCTGATATAACTTCATTTTAGGTGCAACGGATCATAACATCGAATTATCGTTCATTAAGTTTATTACGTGAACTTGATCTATCCTCCAATCAAATGATGGAATTACCGGCGTCATCATTCGATGGTCTAAACTCACTTGAGATACTTCGGATGACAAATGAACCCTACCTACATTCAATAAAGGTTAGTATATCATTCTAATTTAACCATTATTTTGTTTTAGTATTATTGTTGTTTACTTAATTAGGGAACTGCCTGTTTGTTTCCGTTATTAATTAAAGTCTTAAACAGCTTCAGGCAACAAAAAAAGGAAAATCCTGTGCTGTCAAGATTCTTGCTGTGTTTGCAAGAGTGCTATCGTGTGCTTTATTAAATTTTTAAATATTATTTCTTCATCTCAATCAATGTTATTGATATTTTTTCTCAATTCGGAAGATGAATTTGTAGAAAATCTGAAAATCTGAACAGTTCAAATATTAATAAATTACATATTGTCTTTTTTTAGCTGAACGCGTTTTCTGGTTTGATAAATTTACGCGAACTTAATTTATCCTCATGTCATGTTTTGGGAAAAATAGACGAAAATGCGTTTGAATATGACAATCAGTTGGAGATGCTCGACCTGAGCAATTGTCGACTGGAACGGTTGCCACAGAAACTTACTGAATGGACTAAGTACGTTGAATATTTCATTATGGAATGTTTTCTTGAAGATCGAATATCACATATTGTCATTTTCTGCTTACTTTTTTCTCAATTTCTTACCTTTATTATTCAACTTTAACATACATCAGACTCATTAGGGTTCAGCAAACTGTCAATTTCAGTTTGAAATCTTTGTACATATTCGGTAACCCGCTGCATTGTGATTGTGAAATGTTATCGTTCCTTCCGGAAGTGCTCCGGAAGTTCTCTATCAATGCCACTTGCTTTACGCCGCCTTGGTTATTCGACAAAAATATTATGCAGTTGGTATGCTCTCCGCTTACCATCTTCGCTTAAAATATCTCCAGTATTTCTTATGCCCATTGTGTGATGGCCATTCCCTCCTTTGCCGGCTAATATTTTCAATGAGCAAACTTCCATGAAAGTAATCTAATCTTTCTAAGACAACAGAAAGAGATTCCTTCAGGCGAAGAATAATTTGTTTGTAATAATATTGGTCCGAGATTCTCAAAATTTCATTATTCTTTGGGCTATAATAGAATAATCGAAAGAAAACATCCGCAACATGATAAAAGTGTCATTCCAACAGCAAAATCGGTCCCTTTTATTTTGCCTTCCATTTCCAATATACAATTTATAACGCTTAATTTAATTGCAGTCTGAAAATTGCACAACGTTGAGCGAATCACAGCTAAGTTTCGCTATCCTTGGCATATCATTTCTAATTTTAATTATTCTGCTACTTTTTGGTATGTATATCCGCCGACATCTTCCTTTATGCAACAAATTTTCTTCCGCCAAATACCGCACTCAGAACAAATGCCGCTCACATCTATACAGTAAACCTTTCCTTATCGCTTCATCAATCAATGACAAATCTGACTTACTGTCCGAACAGACTTGTTATACGACAACAAACCGCAGTACTTCAAATGGTATGTTTTAAGATATTGCATAAGCGTCCGATTGCGATAGGAACCGCGGTAATGGACTGATTTAGGTAGTAACGAGAATATGAGATAGTAAATAGTTTCATGTAATGTTACGAGCAAAAGGTTACAGATACGGTAGATTCAGAATTTGATCGACTATATATTTATCATTTAACATATAGCTTTAAACCAGCATTTAATGAACTTAAAAAAGTTCTATATTTCAAGTGTTGCATCCTATATTTTTTCGATTTCTCATTCATTTCCCTACTTCTAGGTTTCTCTCGTTCCGGTGGTCTCTATGATGACGAAGGTTATTACAGCAGCGTAATGTTTCCTGCAGAATACAACGCTTATGAATGCGCACGTTCAGTTTATCCGATACCTCCACCTGCAGCTACAATACCTCAAACATTGCCAAAAAGCTATGGGGATGACAGTTTTAGGATTATTTCTGAACATCCTATACCTATTACAGAATTATGACTATAGCTTGCTATAGCTATAGTAACTAGCTGGGTAACTAAGCCAATATTTCGAGATTTCCAGGACAAATACTTGTAGTGTTTGATGGAAGTCTTCCTGACTCAATAATCGATTACTATGAATCAGATTGGTCGAGAGTTGATCCGGGTGTTACCAGAACAATGAAGCGGGTGTGTATGCAGGAAAAGATACCAGAAATATCTCGGCAAATACTTGTATATATTAATAATTACTTTTCCAATGAGCCAATTTAAGAGATGCATCCGTCGACACATTGCCGTTAGGAATGCACAGGGAAAGAGATGAACGGGTTTAAGTATTGCTAAATAATAAAGGTTGTAGAAAATGCTTTCCAGCTTGACTGGATGGATATGTAGCCTTTTGTGGCAGCAATAATTAAATTTGGACAAATTGAGTGGAAGGATATTTTGTAGCAATTAGTGAACTATCTGTGATGAAAAGTCCAATACTTCAGTTCTTGCATTTGTTTATTGTTACATTGCCAAGTGTTTTTGTTTTATGTGTACAAAAATGAAAGTTTAAGCCACTAATTTCAATATGAAGCACTGCGAAATGTATTGGAAGCTATGACTTCTTGTACTGTCAAGAAATATTTCAAAAGAAGACTTGATCGGGGCAAAAAATCATTAACATTGGTATTCTTCTTCACATCAGTATGAAATATATTTATTTCATCATCCTTTCAAAATTTTCGATAAATTTCGATAACTTTTAAGAAATTATTTAGCATCTTAAGAAAAGATTTTGGAATTTTTTTATAAATTTTGAGGATTTCTTAAGAAAACTTCGGAAAAACTTGAAAGTTTTTGAGAAAATTTCGAGGATTTTAATAATTTGTGAAGAATGCAAAGGATTGAAGATTCTCAGGCATCTTAAAGATTCTAAAAAACATTAAGTGATTCTAGAAATTTTTAGAAGCAACTTTACGGAAAAGGTAAGAATGAACGATTACGAAGAGGTCTGTCGTAAATAAACTGTCACCGTAAAATATTCCATACCAATAACTTTACAATTATCGAACTCTGCATCATTAAGTTTATCAATTTATCTTGATTTTCAAAAAATCAAAATTTTCCATATCACTGAAATATCGCATTACTTTCCCGAAACGTCCTCGATCGCATGCAAACATTGAACATATCATTTTCTACCGACTGTCTTACTTTGTAAAAAAGTTCATTTTTTAAAGAAAAAATTATTTTTGATCATAATTTGTCCATCTTTGACTGTAGCAAAAGAAAGCTATTAGAGAGAGGAATTAATTGGTAAACGCTTTTCATTATAACATTTTAACAGGTATATTATTAGTCTAAATATGATCATCTAATTTAGATGTGATCATTTTACATGGCGAGAGAGGGAGAGAGAGAGAGCATTCTTTTAATTGACACTTTGTTTAACTTTGCATTCTCAACAACTTATATTATTTTTGGTTTTGGTATTTTGGCATTTACTTTCGATTTCAAGAATGCGAGAAATATGTGGAATAACGAGCGATATGACGTCTGTCTTTAAACAGCAGATTGAAAAAGGGTTCTTTTATCAATTTCGATCACATCTAACAACAAAACAATCACCAGAAAAAACGAATGCTTATGAAGTAGCTGAGAATAATGGAATGATGTAAACCTATTGGGCGATCTTGTCCTGCTAGGATATCACGCATTCTCTTAACTCATCATTTTAAGGCTGTATTTGTTGGGTAAATGTCCTCATAGAATGAATCATTCAATGAATAACAAATGTGGATAAATCTAAGCTTCCTGTTGCTTTTTATCCTTTGCATCTTACAAATAAATTTTTTCTACGGATGCAACCACTAAAATATTAATTTATTAACAAAAAATATCTTATAGGTTTGATGGATGAAGCAAATAAAAAGAAATCTATTTATTTCAGAAGATTTGACAGTTTAAAATTTCAACGATAAGAACTTTTGATTAAGGACTTTGGAAGCTCTGCGTTTGTTGATCTTTCGGAAGAATGATGAATGTTAAATTTTCCGATCTCATTTGAGCGTTTTTGACTAATTCTTGTAATTTTTTTCATAGTTTGTGATTAAACAAATTCCAGATCTGAAGGCATAAGGATAAGGAAACCATTCAATGTCGAGCAAAGCGGTTAGAGATCTTTGAATAAATTATCCGGTTCTTGTTTTTTGAAAAATATTTTCAATAACAAGCAGTGATTTTCTTTTCAAGCATACAGCGGATATCAGTCCAATTCTTGTGTAATTAAATAGATACGATTCGCCAATTAAGGGTCCATTCCTTAAATGTTTCGAGCAATTAAACTTCGTAGGAAAAAAAGAGTAAATTTTCCAATAACCCTTAATCCATTAGCTATTGCAAACAAAAGGGCACCAAATAAGGGCTATTTTCGTACGTATCAATAAAAAAGAAAACTTGAGCTTCACGCTTGACCACTTCCTTCATCGTCTTGGAATTGAAATGATAGCAAGGGAGAGAGAGAGAGAGAGAGAAGAAGAAGAAGAAGAAAACTGCAAATAGGAAAGTAGTCTCAAGCATAAAAAATGCTTCATTCTCACAGCTTCCAATGCACGAAAATGCATTTGTCGCTTATTTCTGCACAGGTGAACATTGGAGAACAAAATGCAATAAAAAGAATGTTAGCTATTGATGCTTAAATTTAGTACTGTATTGTGCTTGTAAAACTTGTGCTTTGTAAAAAGAATGTTAGCTATTGATGCTTAAGTTTAGTACTGTATTGTGCTTGTAAAACCAATAACTTGTAAAACTTGCATCATTTCTATCTTCTCCTTCAAGCTTTCCAAGCTGTGCTATCAGATAGATGTAAGTCAAGGCTTTCTTTTGGCTCTTAATTTCAATTCATTTTGACTTCTCTCTTTCTCCATTTATGTGTGTTGTTAATTTGTTTTAACAATATCTGTAAAAATATGTTTATCATCTCTTTTAATGAGAAAAAGGATACGAAATATTTCAGATCGAATGGGAGATTATATTATTCAAAAGTGGTCGTCTCGTAAACCTCTTAGAAGATCAGAGGGATGGTCTAACTACTTACGAGTGTTTTCAATGGACATAGAAGAGCATTAATCGAAGAACGCTTGGAAAAAGTGCTTGGCAGCTTTTAAAATTTTAGGTGGAAAGGATCAAAAAGCCTATGATTATAAAAGAGTGGCATGAAAGACGTCATGAATTTATTTCAACCTAGTTAAATGGGACACTTCTAAAGCACTTTACTTTACTCGTCCCTCCTGCGGTGTCAAATTGCATCTCTGCTCCTAAGCCTTCTTCTATCAGCCTCTTACCGGTAGCTTGAAAAGAACAAACCTATAGCTACTGCTCCTTTATTCGAAAAAATCTTTCTGAATTCGCTAAACCATAGGTTTTAATCTTATAAATACTACCCTTTTAATCTTTTATTTATTTATTTTTTTGAAAAATACGGATGACGTTGTTTTCTATTCATCCATCCCACCTGCATGTAATTTATAGTTGACATGGGTAGACAGGTAAACGTCGCTTTGTTAATAGGCAGGCAACGTTTTCAGCATTAATGACTAAAGAGATTGCCATGTAAAATATTGCTTTGGTTTTGAAATAATTGGTCCGATTGTGTACAGTACTTTTATTATTTCATATGCATTTATGCACTAGATTATTAAAACTGACAATAATTATCAACGATATTTTCCGAAAAGAAAACTATGCCGGTATCTACCGGTGAAACCGACTTTGATATCTTTAACTCATAATGAAAAATATTCTAACAAACAGTCGTTACAAAAGGAAATCAGCACATTCTCAACATGCACTTTCTAATTTAATTTGAATCTCACTCTTAACAAATATTGGTTCTTCGTCGTATGATTTAAGAGAGCATAATCTCATAAAAGGTAAATTGGATATAGCGGGAGAGAATTGCATGCATGCATATATAAAGTATCATTCATTCGAAATGCGGTGGAAAAAATAATTCTCTCCCAAAAACAACTTAACATTTCTTCCTTTGGCTAAATATAAATCGTCGCGCCGATAAACTATTAAAAGAAAATTTTATTCAATCATCATAGCTGCTAATTTATAGCATAATTTCATCCTTCTCTCCATTTTCATTACCTTTCAATGCATTATTAGCATATCACTAAGTTTAATTCGATTTCATCCATTTCTCTTTGGTGTTTTCTTTGATTTGGAGCAAATTAGCGTTTTCTTTAATTTGCAATAAGAAGACAGTTCAGAAGAAATTGGTCCTGCAGTTCAAAAGAAATTGCACACCCATACTCTGGTGCATGCTACAGCACGATTGACACTTATATATTGACACTTATATATTTGTTGCATTTATACTGCAAAATAGTTTCTTACAAATTTAACACGGAAGTATGAATCAACTGGCCATTAGCTGCAAAAGTATTTCAGCGTAAGATTTATACAAACTACACTGATATAAATATAAAAATATTTATTCATATATGAAGCCTTAAAGCTTTGGCTTTAGACATAGGAATTGGAAAAGAGAAGGATGCCACATATTTCTGATGAATCTTTTAATGAAATGTCATTAGAGCTTCCCAAATTTTATTTCATTGATAATAAATTTAAAAATTTTTTTAGCTGATATGAAAATTGATATAATAAATTGCTTTTAATGTGCAGTTAATGTCTTATTAGCATCATTGAGTCAGTCGTATTTATTGGCATTATTCAGTCATCTGAAATAGAGAGATACATTTGAATAAAAGATGCTCAAAAATTTGATTGCTAAAGTCCTTTCGGATATAATAATCGATCATGAAAATGGATATAAGGCTTGTGCTTCTGTAGTTCAGAAGATGCGAGGATTCTTGATCTTATGATGAAATTGTTCAAATTATTGCCATTACACTTCACATCTAAATATTGCGCTTCTCTTTGCGCATTTATTACAACTTTTGTGTATATTTGCCAAAAAGAGTGCTAGTCACAGAAGGTTGGAAGCCAAGTTTTCTGTCAAGCCAATTATTACCGTTTCAGACACTGGAGATTTTTCTGTGTAAATCTTGAGATAAGGCTTGCAATAAGCCGTATCTATTTCTGCTCCATTTTTAATAATAAACCTATGATTTTAAATTGATGAAAATCTTAACCTTGATTATTAGCTAACCTTCGACTGTATGATTAGAAATGAAGATTAAAAGACAAAAATGAAATTAGTGTACGCAAGAGAAGAGAAGGAGTAAAAATGAGTTAGCGATTCTTTAAGAAATAATGAGAACTCAACACAAAAATAATTCATGGCACTGGATGAGATGCACATTAAAAGGCTGTAAATTACATTAAAGAAGGGAAAAGTATAACTTTAGAATTGTTGTGTATGGGTTCGAGATGATCACTGATCAAGGGTACTCTGAGAAGATAAACAGAGTTTTATAATAAAGCTATCGATTGAAACTTTAGGTTATGCCTTCATTTTATTTTTGCTAATATCACCGCTAATTTTTTTCTTACCTTAGTAGAGATTGTACTAAAATAGCTAATTCTATTTAATTTGCATATTTAATGCACTCACTTTGTTATTTTGCTATGCCTTACATATTTACTTACAGACTAGCTTTTCTTCCTCTGAACAATTTTGCCTTTAGCGACTTGGCTAACCACTATTATCGTTGACGTCTTTCCTTTTTCTCCACCTTTTCGACATTATTTTAGCTTTTCATAAAGGCAGGCACTTTCCATTAATAATTCATCGTAATCGTTTGTGACATTCTGCCTTTTCCATCATTTCAATTCAATTGCAGCAGTGGCGGCAGCGGCGGCATCAGCCATGTAAACTACTTCTTGCTAAGATCCTCTCTTATTCCTTCCTCTCCCGAGGATACAACTCTTTCTCTGATTAAACCTTCTCTTCCCTTCTTCCTCTTCAAAATTTAAAAAAGCTTATTTTTATCAAATTTATAAGATAAGCTGATCTTTATTTCAAGAATGAATAAGGCATTCGATGAAGTATTCGATTTCATCTCCTTGAAAACAGGATTGGCTCAAATTGTAGCAAGGCTTCTTTCGGTCCACTTCCCATCAAGTTCAATATGTACACTACTGATTCTCGCAATTGTCTATCTTTAAGGAGGATTCAAATTTGCATAATTTAAATGCCCATTATCACTTTCTTAGCTCTCGAAAGAGTGTCGCTATAATATGCAATATGATATCAGTTATTTTTTTACGTGCTGATAAGACATGGACAAGTTGGCCATTTTTAAATTTTAATCTTTGTAACCCTTTAATTTTAAAACGATTACATTACTGTGGGAGCAACAGATATTGGAATAAAAATCACTTTTAAATCATTATAAAAATAACAGTGATTATTTTGACATTCTTAAAAAGAAAAAGAAATATCATTTTCACGTTGCACTGTATAAGATGCAGTAATTCACAATTTCTTCTAACTATCGTTTTTTAATCAGTAATTTTTTGAAACCAATTTTGTACAACAATTCGATAGAGAAAAGTCACTACATCACTGGTCATCAGCTCGGACAACCTTCGCTCCAATCGTAATAATAACGCAAAGTGGAATTTTGGAAACTTAAATGAAGAACAATTTGACAAGTTCTGCTAATAATTTTACCTTGAAAAGAAATATTTGTTCACTATAAAATCATAAAATGCACATAGAAGTAAAATGGGATGGGAGAGATGTGAAAATAATCTTTTCATAGGCACTTTTATGATCATAACGATTATTTTCTTTGATTCTTTAATTTAGACATTCTTTTTCCAATGAACTTTCAAAATAATACTGTAGTTTTCAGCTTTTCATTTAAGCTTTTTTCGAGATGTCAATTTGAAAATGCGTATTTGAAAAAGCTCAAATAAATAGAGAGGTCAGTTTTGGAATTTTCCAAAAGCTTATCAGTTTATTTTTTGTTCCGTGTTTCTTTTAGCCACATCCAAGGATACTTTCCGTATAACTTACTTCCATATCCATATCAGACATGTTCCGAAAGACAACTAATGTGCTTTAGTTCAGTAATAATAAAAATTTTAAGCACTCCACTGCAAGAAATTATTCCTTAAAGGAAATTTTTATACTGCAAAAAGTCGCATACCCTTCTACGACCTCATTCGCAAAAGTAATTATGTTGGACAAAAAGTCATTGAGATGTTTTTCTTTTATCTAATGCTTGCAATAACTATGCTAAACGAAAGCTTTTCTGTCTTATTGACAGAAAGGCTTCAGAAGACTGATGCTCGGGAATGGTTTATTGATTAGATTCCGGGATGTGGAGGTAAGATCAAAGAAAAAATGGGCTGGAGTCAACAGTCTTGGATTTCGAACTAAAATCTCTTTAAAAATTTACATTTCTCGTCTCGTATCTCACTCCTATGCAGTTAAACAAGTTGTGGTCAAAATTTACACAATTTCGTAGCAATTTGGTAACGCTGTTCTTAGCGGTTGAATTATTCTTTTAAAAGTGAAGGCCTTTTTTCGTCGATAAATTAACAGTATAGAAAGAGGTCTTAGTAAGAAAGTATGCCTTATTTAATATTTAATAATAAAGAAAGTATGCCTTATTTAATAATAAATCCATTTAATTTCTTAACAGCAATTATTGCAGGTGTTCATTAAAATGATAAGCATTTTCAAAAAAAACCAAACTTTCCAATCTACCGTACCTGTGGGATTACATAGTAATATGATCAGGTGAAAAGGTTTGAACTTGCAAGCGTAACTGCCAATAGTTCTGAGTAGAATGATGCGAAAAAAATAGTAAGAAAAATTAAATGGATTAGTAGAGATTATTTGAGGAGATAGTAATTAGTAGGAAAGTAATTTGTTCATTTAATAGCTAATGGCTTGAAAAGTAAACTGAAAGGGAATTCCATTCTCGAACGGGTGTTAACTATAGTTTTTTCAAACGAATCTAAATGTTTCATTATTTAATTCATTTACTTAATCATTGTCACAACATCTTATCTTATCTTTCTCTATTGTCATCTCACAATGCTTAACATCTCCACTTTTTACTTTATTGACTACTTCTGCCCGTTGATTAATTAGAGCAATGTATGTTGAGACTGAGGAAAAGTTTTCAATTTATTAAAAAATGAAGAGGAGATTTTCGCTTGAGCAGAATGTCATTAATGCAAATGTCTTCATTCGACATGGATGCTCAGCGATGCGTATCAGAGGAAACAGATTTGATGTGATGTGAGGAATAAAGTAATGCCAAGGAAATATGCCATTACTATCCTGGAATAATAATAAAAGAGAACGGCATTATCATAGACTTTTGCGCATTCTTTAATTTAAATTAGCAAATTTACAAAAGTCACAAGTAAAGTAATATAAGTTGCTCGAATGATATTTTCTTACTATTCCAGTGAAGCTATCATTTCAACAACTTCATACCTATCCAACCCTTCATTTTCTTTTCATGAACAAAAAATTTCACTTGCAACTGTTAAAAAAACGCTCGTTCGAGAAATGGCACTTCCAAAATATTCTGCTCCTTCCTACCCCTTGCTAGTTCGGATATAGTTCTGATGAGAAATCACTATGGGGACGGAATAAGTTTTAAGGATGGAAATCAAGAGCAATTAATCATTGATAATAGTGCTAAGATATGCCTCACTTCTGACGATTATTCTTGCTTGAAATTGTCATTCGCAAAATGTTGCTGGCGGCATCTCATATACAGTTAAAAAACTGAAATTCACAGTTTTTAATGCCATTTGTTCCGCAAGAATCAGTAATTTTCAACTTCTTAGTTTCCAAAAATCGAATATTACTTCTGTACAGGTTTCCCAGTGGTAAACGAATCATGGATCGAAGACAGTTTCAGAATAGAAATGAAATGGGATACGAATTAGATGAAGCATCGGCTAGCAAACAGCCTAACATTGCGATGGCTGCCGTTTCCAACAAATTACTTAATGTAAGTATTTATATTTATTTTAAGTGAAAATAATTTCAATTTGATTTTATTTAAATAGGCATCGCTTTAACAATCTCCATCTTTTAATTTAGTTAATGAGAGGTTCTCATATAAACTGAATAGGAGAACATTGAGCTATTGCTTTTTCCAATAATTGATAAAGTTAATATTCCGTCCTTTTGCATGCAGCGAAATTTTCAAGTCAGATTTTATGACATCAAAAATGTTTAGAATAAAAAATTCTAACCGTTTTTGATTTGAAGGATTAAAGGGCGAAATCTTCTAACACAACTTTATCATAGATATCTTAAATGCCTCTGAGACAGATTATTAAACGAAAATCGAAAATTTTTGTTGAAACTGTTTCCGATGCTAACTGTTACAATTGAGATCTGATGAAAACAAATAAGCCAGTAGGGATTTACTTAAGCAAATAAAGTTTGAATAAGTTTGAATCATAATAAAAAATAACGTTCCTTTTCTTAAGAGAATAAAATCAATTAGCACTTTATAGAACATATTGTCATGCACTTCTATCCGGAATATACTATTTCTTTCAGGCTACTGATCAGTGTTCATGCTGCAACTGTGCAAAGCGTTGGCAGCTTGCAATTCTAGCTAATCTCGGGTTTTTGATTGTTTTTGGTATACGTTGTAATTTTGGCGCCGCAAAAAATCATATGGCGCGTGATTATACAGACCCGTGGGGCAAGCATCATGTTAGTAGTGAGCGTTTTTAGGCGAATCACGCTTCAAGCTCAGTTTAAAAATTACGAGAGAGTTTTGTCGGACTTATGCAATTTTCCAATCGGATAAAGAATTTGAAGTGAAGTTAAAAACTATTTAACACACTGTCAATTTTTCGGTTTTTTCCATTTTCGATTCAGCCGGAATTCTTCTCCATCTCTCAAGATCACTTAAATTTGTAAATTATCCCTTTGGACCATAATCATTTGAATCATGCAATATTGCTTATATTTTATCTATCGATGTAACGGTTATTATTGCATACCGTACTTAAGCATCCTTTCTTCCGTCACTTTCTGATTTTTTCCCCTTTTATCCAATTTCGATTATTCTCATTGTATAGCTAATTACTAGACGGCGGTAATCAATTGACGTGGGCTGAGGAGATTTTCATATAATGTTCTTTACTTCTCAAAAGTTTTTGTTTCAATGATTATTCACCTCTAACTAATAGGTATCACATTCATTCAATTAATTATGCCTGCCTCCTTCAACAACTAAACTTACCATTTCTCACTTATCTTAACTTACCTGTTTCCATTCTTCGCTGCTACCATTTGATGGAGTGAATATCCACTTTATTCTATTAATTTTTCATTTAGTTTCCTCATTTATCGAAAAGATTTTAGCCATATCTTCCAAACTTTCCGAATGAGAAGCAACTCTTCTGCTTTCTTTCATAGCTTGGTTTTTTGAACTTGCTGCTTCCAGACAAGAAGTCGTCTTAGTCTACAACAGTAAGAGAAATATACGCATTTGCCTCTTCTTTCATTAATATCCTTTAAAATGTCAAGGAAAGAATTATGTCAACAACTATGAAAAATCTGTGTGATGATGTTAAAAAAGAAATAAAGGAATGGATAACTCATTCAAAAAAGTGATTCAAAGTGAGACGATATTCTCTCTTATGATGTGATTGCATCGGAATCTTACTTTAAGCGTGAATTTTCACTAGAAATTCTAATTTCTAATCAGGCATCTGACCTAGAATGTCGAAGAATGCAAGGGTTAAGGCTACGGGAAAGTTAATTCTTACAAATATCTACTAAAACAATTTTTCAAGACGAATTTTCTAAGTTTCATAACGTTTACGATATGTCCCTCTTTTTTTTCTCTTAATCAGCAGATAGATGATATCAAAGTGCAGATAGATTGATGCTCAGATGGATTCAATTTTTTAGGATATTACTCTTTTAATTCTTTGCAATGCTTCCTCAAGCTTTTACGGTCTTTTCTTACTTTTTTTAAACTGCTCTTCTTGAAAACAACAAACTCAACTCATTTAGATTTTGCATGAAAAATTAACAACAAACTCATTTAGATCAGAGAAGTATAAATTATAATTCCTAACATTTCCTCTCTCACAAAGTTCAATACTTTCCTACTCTCAAATTATCTCATTCCACATATATTGCCAACCGTAAAAGCACACTGTTATTTTTTTTTAAATGCACATTTTAATGAAATCAATTTAATATTTAACAGCTTCAGATGAATAATCGAAAATTTTCCAATGAATGTCTTTACATTTTGTGATGGATTTTCATCAGACTCATTTCTACAAGTAGCGTTCAATGTTACCTCACATGACGTTTCTTTTCTCTCAATAATAAATAACATGTGGTTTTCAATTATCCATCAATGTTTGCGCTTTGCGCAAAAAGAAGCCGAGAAAGAAGAAATCCTTGGGACGGGATCAAAAATGTGAAATTTTTAGGGTAATATTGGAAGGAGACGATCTAAGAAGGCTTAGATTATCGGAGTTCATTTTATGCAGTTGTCAAATGAATTATCAGAATTTCATTGAATCATAATTGGCACGAACCATCTTCATTGCCTACTACATGACTGATAATATATGAACCGGATTTTATGCACATATTCCCTAAGATTTCCGTTAAAGGCAATTTTCCGAGACAGCAATGCCAAACATGAACCATTTGCTTGTTTGATTTTTTTCATTTCTTTCAACATTGAAGTTTCTGTGCAGTAAATTGTGAGAATTTTTAGAGACGTGAATTTAATTGGACATTAACAGAGCTGGGTGTTATGGAAAGTTCATTTTTCTATGGCTATTTGCTGACGCAAGTACCGGCAGGCTTCTTGGCTGCTAAATTTGCACCTAATAAGTAATATAGCTAAAGTTTAACTTAATTTGTTAAATTTACCTAAAAAGAAAATTGAAAATTCAACCTTCTGCTATCCTTTCTTCAATATTTGTGATTTATTATATGAAAATATAAAAAGAAATAGGAAAGGAAAGAAATAATTTTCATCCTTCAATGATACTCATTCAAAAATAGTTGCTTTTCCAGATTATTTGGCCTTTCCATAGGTTTGGCATCATTTTTCAATATCTTACTACCTTTTGCGTTCCATACCAATAACGACACTTTAATTGCAATGATTCAAATACTACAAGGGCTTGTACAAGTATGTTTCTCACATGAGTCATCATGTTTAAATTTTTCCTTCCAATTAGTATATGAATGCAGTTTAGTCAAAAATTAAACAACTTTTAATTTCCTGTAAGTTTCGGCAATATGCTGTAATTGAAAGGAATTGCTGACTTGTGGTTCGAAAGTATGGCAAGCCTTACGGAGAATCTTCATTCTCTAGAAGGTCTATTATACTTTCGAAGATTCTTAAATGAGCCATCAAAATGGATCAATGATTAGAAGGAATAAATTTTAGGGTGTATCGTATCCTGCGATACATGGTGTATGGCGCTATTGGGCTCCTCCATTGGAGCGATCCAAATTGGCAACAACTGCATTTACAGGTTCCTATGCTGGGGCGGTAGTCGGTTTACCGGCTTCTGCTTGGCTCGTCAGTTACATACATTGGTCTGCGCCATTTTATGTTTACGGTGGGTGCGTTCTAAGTAATTTAACAAGATGATTAAAATGAAAAAAATAATCTGAACATTTTGACATATTAAAACATCTTCAAACATTTCTAAACCATCTCGCTATCTTTTTCACTTCATTTAAATTTAAAAGAAAGAATGGAATGAGATCATATTTCGGAAATGTTTTTTTGTAGGTTTTGCTGGCGTAATGTGGGCAGTATTTTGGTTTGCATTAACATTTGAAAGTCCAACATTCCATCCAACGATTTCGATGGATGAAAAGAAATATATCTTGGAAACAATTGGACCAGTATCCACAAGTCACGCAACTGTAGGCCTTCATGCCTATCCTGTAGAAATGTTAAAAATAAAACAAAGAAGAGTTTGTTGGAGCCTGAGTGTTAATATCTCTCTAATTTAGCTTGCGTCAGTACCTTGGAAGGCAATACTACTATCAAAGCCAGTCTATGCAATAATTGTGGCAAATTTCGCACGGAGTTGGACATTTTACCTTCTTCTTCAAAATCAGCTTACCTATATGAGAGAAGTGCTCAACATGGCAATTAATGACGTGAGTGCTTGTGAAACTTCACTTATTTGGACATCCTAATCTTTCTTTAAATATAATATTTGAAAATAACTCGATCGGTTGTTTTGTAAGAAAGACATTGAGTAAGAACTTTGAAATTTTGGCTAATTTTATTTTACTTAATTTTATCATATTTAATTTCCTAATTACGATTGTTAAGAGCGGTTTGATAGCCGCATTGCCCCATGCAGTGATGGGTTTGGCAGTACTTGGTGGTGGTCAATTAGCCGATTATTTGCGTTCTCATCAAATTCTCAGTACAACGGCAGTGCGGAAACTTTTCAACTGTGGCGGTAAATTTCCATCACGTTCATATTATCAAGAGATGAAATTCGCACCTTTCTAATTCATCTTTTCAATGCTGACTCATCCATCAAGGTAACAAGCTTCAAAAAAGTATTACAGGCTTTGGTGGAGAGGCAATATTCATGCTTGTTGTCGCCTATACTAAAAGTGATGCAACCGCAGTATTTGCTCTAATACTTGCCGTTGGCAGTAGCGGTTTTGCAATCTCAGGTTTTATTAAATTAAAGTTGATTTAACGTTTTATAAATCTCCGAAGAATGTGTTTCTGATCATCACCCGAAGAACATGAAAAACAATCCCTCACCCAGAGAATATAAAAAACAACTATATATTCCTCTGCAATTCTCACTTATTAATCAGATTTTTCAGATGTAAAAAGATTTGCAAGAACTGGGCCGAACCAAAGGAAGAAACTGTTAGATTAGGCCTTCTTTATAGCTATAAAAACATATTAATTGAAAAGATTTTCTGATATGTAAGAAGCATTCTAGGTTTCAATGTGAATCACTTGGACATAGCGCCACGTTATGCAGCAATACTGATGGGCTTCTCGAATGGTATAGGTACCCTGGCTGGCCTTACATGCCCTTTTGTGACAGAAAAGTTAATTTCACGTGGTCCACGAGGATGGGAAAAGGTGTTTCTGCTCGCAAGCCTTATACACTTCACCGGTGTCACTTTCTACGCTGTCTATGCATCCGGTGAATTGCAGGATTGGGCTGAGCCAAAAGATGAGGAAGAATCCTGGTTCAATAAAAATGTCTGTAAAAGCGGTGAGTTCCTTTCATATTCATTAAATTACAGTAAGGGACGAATATTAAATCAAACTTCTAAGTCCTTCATGCAACATTATGAATTGTTCCTCATTATCTATGGTTCTAGGTACAGTTGCTGCTAGCGACTATGGTACGGTGAATTCAGAACAAGGACAAAGTAGTCCAGCCCCGGACTTCGATAAAATCTGGAACGGTAGCACTATGTCCACTTCTTGCTATCTTGCTATTCCATTTGCCTATTTTTGCCAGTAGAGCTAAGTTACTCTAACTGATTGTTTCCACTTTTGCAGATTCAGCTTCGATAATAAATCCAAGTGGAATGAGAAGCAAGTACGCACCAACAACACAGAATTTAAGTTACAGTAATTCCAAACGGCACAATATGGACAACTATGAAGGATGGTGACAGAAGAGTATCAAGGAACCAGATCTATTATTTTATTAAAACAATATGACAAATATTCTCATTCTTCACTGCTCTCGAGAAAGCGTTGCCGAAAACTTGAGCCGCTCGGACAGGAAGAGACTTACTAAGCCTACATATCAGTGAAATTTTTTGTAATTCTGAGACTGCAGTAATTTTTTTCGAGATAAATTAACCTATACTGTTGTTTTTATATCACTGTTCCTTATCATCTTTGACCTTACTTACATACATAATAGTGGTAGGCACAGGCAATCCGAAATTATCCGAATTAAAACTCAATTGTGCTAAGGAAAAAGAGATGTTGCTCAAAGTTTACTTTTACAGTGTAGTAGGTAATAAGAAAACAGTAAAAGCAGAAAAAAAAGAATAAGCTGATTCAAAATTTAACCCTGAATTCAGCTTCTGACTCTATTTTATCAAATAGGGAGCTGTCATCAAAATCTTCCGATCACATGTGATGAATCACATCTTTTCTACCAGTTCCCATGCACAGCTATTATACCATAGTTGCTTGGCTTTCAATGGGAGATCTGATGATCATCTTTCTTAGCATGAAAAAGCCTATCAGAAGTAAATGTACTATCCGAAACTGTCATCTGACGCTTTGCATGAACATAATAAGTTACTGCTCCATACACAAGCTATGCTAACATTGATAATAATTAAATTAACTAGAATGCATATTTAAAGGAAATAAAAGAAAAAGAAAAAAAGAGAATACCATAATACAATTTCTGCTTCACTAATTCATAAAGATAATATATACTGAGAAAAAGTTTCAGATTAAAAGGGAGCAAAAAGAAATACATTCTCTTCTACAATCTGAGCAATTTAAATTTAAATTTAAAAACAGAACGAATCTCAAAATTGAATAACAAATACGATTCTGAGAACAAATCATAAATGGTATAGGGAAAATTAAACCTAACATTAATCCCTTCCAAACTATGTCATCTAATCCAGAGCACATTTTTTCATTACGTTTGCAAAAACTGGTCATTTATCTCCCTTAGCCATTGCTCATCTTACATGATACGTGATGCAATTTACTATATCCTAAAATCATTCCTAGACTGACAATAAAATAAAGGAAGACAATATGAATACATACCACCGGGCGCAAGATGAGATGAGCAATTCCTCTTACAAAGTGAAAGAAAAAATCAAGCACATTCTATCTGGTATTCAAGAATAAAGAAAACAATACCAGCAAGATTTGGAACTTAAATGAAGAAATAACTAAAACTGCAAGGCATCCATACTTCACCATTTCCACTGCTACATGTTTTAATGTTAAAAATCTAATGCGTGTGTTAAGAAAAATCATGCGTAAGAAAATCATGAAAATCTCTTTGTCCATCTTTACGCCTTTCTCTTCAAATAATACTAAAAGTTCGTATATAATAAATATTCAGATCTTCCTACTTTGAGCTCTAGCTCATATTTACATAACAGAAACCATAGTTTGATAATTGATAAATTTTCATACTATTCAAGGCTGCATGACTGCAGTGATATGCATTCGAATTTCTTCGTCCCACAGAGAGCTAGTGGGAAGTTACCAATTTTTTTAGCCTATTGAGCAACTTTATTTCTGCATTACTAATCATTCCGAAAATACTTTAACAAATTAACTGATCCACAATAATTCGTATGAAGTCTATTATGAGTTTCTTTGGTGACCTGGCCGATCCTCAAATAACTCTGCAAGCTAACTGATAGAGCTTTATCAGTAAACTAGTTCTAAGCCAATTCAATATCATTCTCTGCTAAATTCGAAATACACATAGTGAGACAGTTGAATTGATCGAAAGAGAACAAAATATACTCTAATAAAATTAATACAATGAAACAGTAGGAAGTATTGAGAAATGCGAACGAATCTCTTCAGGAAAGCAATACAGTGACAATAACAACAACATAGAAAGGAGACTGCTCCTGATACTGAAAATGCCGTTCATTTCGATTCTCCTTCCCAACCTTCATTCTCTTTTGTTATTTCTCCTTTTTTTTCTTGTTCATTTGATGTCCAGTCTTGTTGCTGTGACCTCTCTTTTTGTCTTTTGTATTCCCTATATGTCACCACTACTAAAAAAACATTAAAATTTCAAAATTATTTTCGACTTAGAAAACATCAGAACCTATATAGCTTATTGTGAAAAATGTAAATTTCCATTCATTTCAATTTTTATTATCTGAACTTAGTAGCTCTCAAAGCAAACTGCAGAAACAAATATCAATGAACCAACCAGTTTCATCTTCCGTAAAATATCTCCACATATCATTCGCTGTTAATACTTCAGGTCGCTGCCTTACGTCAACTATGGTTGGCGGACTTGCCGCTATTATATCACTTTCTGGAAGAATAACTTGTCGACCTCCATCCAAATTTAACACTATTCCGGAATATCGAGGCTGTAATTATCATAATTTCCATAAGACACCATTGGCGTTTCCGTGATCTCATAGATTGAATTCGCCACAATTAACAACCATTTCTTATACAGAAATAGCTAGTGATATTTCCTGTATTTCGACTAGATCAATGAATTTAATCACGCTGTGACTTATAAAAGCCTAAATATTCCTATGTACGAGCAAAAATTTTGAAATCCCAAAAAATTGAGCTCCTACCTTGAAAGACTTTGAATCTCCGTCAATTTCCTCTGGCACAGTATTGAAAGTCTTCGGTTCTGTTTCTGAAAGGAGGACATATTACTTTCAAATAAATTTGTGAAATCAGTGCAAGTTGTCGCTGTCCTGAAACTGTTACTTTCATACAACCAACAAAATCATCTGCACCTTTCGACACAGTTCCAGTTGGTTCGTTTGGATCAAAAAAGAAAGAATAATCTTTCACTGCTGGATCGCTGTTTATCGCTTCCACACTTAATGTTCGCTTCTGTTCACCATGTTCTGGCTTTTTTGCACCTTCCACATGATCTAAAAGACATGAAGCTTGAAAATTACTGTCCCATAAAAACGATCTTCAATGCATTCTACGAACAAAGACATATCTCCTTCAAAAGTATCGCATCATATATATTACATAACTCACCAGAAATGGAAGTTCCACTAACGGAATGTTGGTCTTTGACCGATGAGCGAGGATCCAACGATGCATGAGGTGCTTCATTTGAACGTGTTTCAGCATTATCATACAATCGTCGCTTAGCAATATCTGCCCAAGATCGTTGAGCTGAAAGAAAGCCATAGAGGAAACATTTTTAATTCCAAAAAATTAAAGAAAAATTAATCATTTCAATGGGTCTACAGCCAGACTACCAATAGGATATTACTTCTTCCGCTTGAAACTGCAAACCTGGAGCTTTTGTATTAGCAACAGCAATAGTGCCTATTTGTTGCTCCGGTATTTCGCGTTTCGTATCTGACAGACTTTTCGAAAGAGATGCAACAGCCAGTGAAGAGCCATTCTGCAACCAAAATTTCCCAAAACTGATTATTGAAGAGAATGTCAGATTGTAGGAAATAAACCCAGTAGTGGAGTTCTTTATCGAATGATTTTTAGCACATTGAAGAAATGTAAAAATTAAAGAGCAGAAACTATAAATGATTCACAGAGCAGTTAATGAGTTCAAATTCACCACAAAAAAATGCGAAATGTCTTCATTTTGAATGATTCTTGCATATTCTTGAAAAAACTATCTAACAACTTACATTTCCAGGACAAACAGAATATTTTAAAGTCATTGGTTGACTGCCACGACGATCAGGAGATGTTGTGCGACTTGTCTGAAGTGAACATGGTAATCCATACTTTACTTTCTTGCTCGTCGATGTTGAGGTAGCAAATTTAAGATGATGCTGTTGCCGTCGCTGCTGTGGCTGAACACTAGCATTAGTACTGGTAGTTTGACCTTTTCCACCACCACTCTAAAACGAAAATTTCATCTCGAGAAGATCTGACGATATAAATTTTCAACCAGTTTAAAAAACGGTACGGTAGGCTGATGCTGGAAAATATTCAGAGAAATATTCTCTTCTTACATCTTCCAACAAATACAACAAAACTCAAAATAGTTCAAACATTCTATCGGTCAGGCCATATCGTCAGTCAGCTAGTCCTGACAAGCTTCATTCTCTTGCGCTTTCATAAGAATATTATCAGTGATCTCTAAAATTCACATCCAAAGTCGTGATGGAGCCAAATATTTTTCAAAACTCTGAAAAATTAGGTAAAATTAAAGAAAAGAATAAAAGTCACTAACATAAAGCCCATATAATTTAATTTTTTTGTGTATCGTAGATTGCTTTTTCTGTCTTCGTTATCATTTCCAAAATACCGACTTCAGATCTCAGTGAAAAAACCGCACAATCAACTACCCAAAGGCCAAATTTTAAAGAGAATGAACAAGCATCAACAAACCTCACAATCAACCGGTGATGGAGAAGTGTTCCCACGAGAAGACGGCTGATTTTTACGGCTGTCCGGTGGCAGTTGTATCGAACTTCGCCGCAATCTATCTGCATCGCGCCTTATATTTGTTCTAGCACCTCGATCCATCGTACTGTAAATAATGTGTGAAACTTTTACAGACTAAATACGACAATTTTTAATGGAGATATCATTCCATTTATTTTTTTCAAACATTTAAACTTCACAAGTTGTATGATGTCACAGCCAGAAGGACCACAATTTATTGAATTTTTCGTTCCTTCCATATAAAATCTCGAACTGTAGACAAATCCCATATTGTTACTATACCTATTGAAGTATACATTCTTCCTATCCATTCCTGGTACCATAGCTAGTTGATGCTGAACCAGAGCAACAGCACCTTTCTTTTTACTCCTGGTAGTGACCTGGATAAATTCGGATTCTTCGGTTGCCACTGGTAAAGGATTTATTTCTTCGTCATCAGCACGATAGTTGGCGCCATCACTTATGAAGTCGCGTGAGCCAGAAGCACCAGATTGTTCATCCGTATGATACTGCAACTCAGTTTTCTAAAAAGACAATTTATATCGGAATCTCAAGAAACCATAACATTTCTTAAGGCTTGAAATCTTCAGACCAGTTAATAAATTATATTTTTCAAAGTATCAATTACTTTTTAATCTTTATTCAGAAGACAATGATGTATAACTTTATGGAAGAAATGTCTATCTGTGGTTGCTTACATCACAATTATCCTGAAAAACGTACTATGTCATCGGAGAAGTTGGAATTGGCTCCTTCGTCGGCACTCAAATACTGCTCTTCATCATCCACACCTTCATCCATCGTGCCTTTCGTTGCTGTCATAACACCACTTCCCGTTTCTTCAACCTTATTACTTTGCGATGATGACGTTACAATTTCTATCTGCAAAGCATCAACTTAGAACACAGGAAATCATTAACGAAAATCCTAGCAAACGTGCATTTTTCGGATTAAATTTTACATTGTTTACTATGCATTTATATCGGTAGGGTAGACTGAGTTATTTTCAATCTTAATTATTAATATATAAATTCTTTGCTGAATTTTACTTTTTTACGTTCCCTTTTCAATTTCTTTCCTATTTTCAATTACTTACATTGTTTACAATCACTTCGTTTCATGAAACCTAATATCTTAGGATTATATAGTACTAAGATCCAATTAAACCTCTGATGTTACTGTCTCCATCACCGATGATCCATGCTTAGATTCAACTGTAGTTTCTGCCACAATAACTGCTTTCGCTTTTTCCATATTCAGTGCTTCCATTTTGGCTGAGAGTTCAACTACCTCTCTATCGATGATGACAGGGCGTCTTGTAACCTATTAAAATGTGATATACCAAAAAGTCATGTTTGTAAAGGATATACCTGAAGGAATGAATCAGAAATTTAGATCTAATCATGATAATACTTCGATATGTACATTGTCTTCTGTGAAAATAGAAAAGGGAACTCTTTTCATTATAGAAACATGCAAGCCTTTTGAGAACTCTCTCCCTCTTCAAAATTAGCATCTATAGCAAGAATCACAGAATAGTCAAGCAAGTAAATGACAAATAAAGTAATCAAAACTCTCATATACAAGCTTTCCAAATAATGGAATAAATTTAAATAGAAATAACTAAACAGCAAACTTCTAGCATTTCTCCTTAAATTATTCACATCAAGAAATACGAATTTTTTTCGAACCTTATCTGTTTGGCGATCTTTTTTGTCCCCCCTTTTACGAGCGCCAATACTTTTAGAACCGTTTGCTACAACAGATGAGTGGTCCTGAAAAATGAAAAAAAAAGAATTTTCTACAACTTATGCGAATATTATTAGACAAACAGCAGTATCATATTTAACGCAGTTGCAACATTTTCATCTGTTGCAGTAACGACAATTCGGAACAGCTACGTACAATTACTATCAACAGCAGTTATTAATATACTATTAACTGCATAACAGCAGAAAAGTAGTAACTAGCAGTAGTAATAACAGCAGCAGTAGTAGTAATAGCAGTAGTAGTATTAGTAGTAGTAGCAGTAGTAGTAGTAGTAGTAGCAGTAGTAGTAGTAGCGGTTGTAGTAGTAGTAGTAGTAGTAGTAGTATTAATACTGACACTAATAGTAGGTGGGTATCCGATCAATGATCTGCAGAAAAATAGCTGCACATTCCAAAAAGGTAGTAGTACCGACAGTGTAATGGTACCTGGAGAAGATAATGGAAATGGAAGAAGCCGAAAAAGACGGAGGAAATTCGGCGGAAATAAAGTGAGAGAAAAGGGAAAAAGGAAAGGGAAGGGAGGGAAGGAAGGGAGGTGGGCAGATTTGAATTGTACCCATCATGTGGTACTTCACAACAATTACCTCATAGGAATACAACGATTTATGATCGCTTGCCATCATAGACTCAGTAGGCCACAAAATTGACCTCAACAGCGTCCTATCCTTTGACCTAATAAGATATGGATTGGTGGCTATGTGCTGGAAAACAATTACTCTGAGCTATCTCCTACACGATTATTCGATTTCAAAAATATCAAAAAAAATCTCATTTGAAAATGAGTAAACTACCTTGGACCCATTTGTTCCATTCTTTTGATTTCCCTTGACTTTCCCTTTGCTATCGCCTTCGATCCGCTTCAGTATCTCCTCAGGTGATAAATTACCCATGTAACCTGAACCAGTGTATTACATAGAAAATATTAATGAACCAAATTATTGATTTAAATAGCTTATTGAGATTTAGGTTGTTCAGGAAGCAACATCCAGAATTGGGCTGTGAAAAAACCAAATTTAGATGCAAAATTATGGCCAATATAGACAAATGAAATAACAGGAAGTGATAATAAATTAAGAGAAAATGGTTTCTCAACTCCTATTATCCTGGATATACTGGACCGATGAATGAGAGAGAGAAGGGGAAATGAGAACGACAGTTGAGGGATGAGAAAATGAGAGAAATGATTGGGATGGGATGAAGTTATATATCTATTGCAACAGAACTACCAATGCACCATGCAAATCAAGACTGAAGTGTATGAGTGTGTATGTGTGTTGTGTGCTTTTTTTTCAAATTTGGTGTTGAAAAGTCTTGCGAAATATGAGGCTACTTCGAGCAACACTAGACAAAAATACATAAAGACAATGAAAATCTTACGAATATACTGCAAAGCTTTTGGCATGTCCCGATGTCGAATTCTCCTAAACTTCAGACTTCTCAGAATAATCGGTTAAAGGGGGTTCGTACCGAAAAGAAGGTTTCATCGTCGCATTATCAGCGATCGTTTCTTGTGTATACATCTACGGAATTGTACGGGAATGGAAGAACACAACACATTCCCTACCTTTCGAAATTCATTATTGCAATTCACTTTCGAACAAATATCATTTCAACACCATTCTTTACCCGAAACATTACACAAATCATTCTGGCTGTTGTCATGGATGCTAACAATTCTTCCATAACTTTTCCTCTCTCTCCAACAAGGAAATAACTGAACCATTACTGGCATGTGACAATCTGATCTTATTTCTCAAAAATTGATTTACTTAATAAGTAGTGCATAAGTATCCTGCATTTTGTACCATATGAATTGCAGGCAAATAATCTATAAATTTATCACAATTTAACAACTTCCATGAGCTTTTCTGCAGTAGCAGGAGTGCGACTTTGAGATGTGTAGATGCCGAAATGGTGGGATATGCGATATTGCTCGCAAGTTAGATAATATGCAAACGTTGAAGTTCTCTTTTATTTAACCAGAATTTGAAATAAACTTGAGAAAAGACTTAAAAACATAGATTGCAGATGGAGACGAGAAAAAAGAAACTGGAATGTATAAACTTCATATATATTTTAATTAGTAAAGATAAATCTTCAATTGATGAAATAGACATGCAATATTTTCTGGTTGATAGAATAAAACATCATATGTGTATGTATATTAACGATTAGTGTGCCTCACTAACATACGACAAAAGTACAAACTTCGAGAGTGATATATTTCTTCAATGCCAGAAAGTCTTACGAATGCTACTGTTTTGAAACAACGATGAACGAAGCGCTTAACTTCATGACACCTCAAAAATCTGCATTTATATCTTTTCATACTGCCTATTCCAGTAATGTTCAATGAAAATGTATATAGAGAAAAACATGGCAACATTGAACCACATACATACCTCATCCTTCATTCTGCAATTTTTTTACTATTGTCATCTTCTACTACAATAGCTGAGAGATCATCTAATACGCTAAAGCTCTAAAAAAAGATGACGTTAATCACTAATCCCAATATTACCGTATGAAAAAATTGGAGTTCAGTCTTTAGTAAATTATTCATTCACAATAAACAGATCATAAATTTACTTGTACATGAATATGAATACAACTTCCTTATTATTCTCACAATCATCTCCAGCTGGATCATAAGAAAAGCCTACCGCCTTTTATCACAATTCCCACCTCTTATAATATCTTTTAAATGCAACTAAAAAACTTCATAGCCTTGACTGAATTAAAGTGGCACTATCATGAAAAAACATGTAATTTCTTGTGATGAAACAGCAGTATAATTTGATAATTACCGCAACATGATAGCATCTCGATAGCAAATTATAGGATCTCATGAGAAAAAGATTGCGAAAGATGAACATTTCCTAAACAAGAAATGACCGATCAAAAGCTATCACAACCATTAAAAACATTAGCAAATGCAGACAAAAAGAATGATTTGATACTTGTATAAAATAATTGTGTTTGAAACTAGCTTAGAACAATGCCGTACAGATGATAGCTCGTTAGCTCGTTCAACGAGCTATTATCCACAGATGTAGATAGCTTGTTGAGTTAGCAATACTTTAGGTCATTTGCAGGCCGATATCTACGACAAATATTGATGTTTCTTATGCGACTTATAATGCCTATCAGCTTTAGACAGGTCATTCAACCCATACCGATAACCGACGAATCAATAATTAATTTCTTTTACAAAATCAGTCTGGTAAAAAAAATGAAATAATTCTTTTATGAAAACAAATTCCCGCCGCGAAATCATTGCCATACTATGGTTTTAATTCTCGGAATAGAAATAATCATAAGAAAGGCTCACCAAAAAACTTTGTGAAAACTTAAACGACTGCAGATGTCATCATTGGTTCACGTGGCGTTAATCAGTTATGATCTACCTGCTCAGCTATATCAGAAGATCGCTGAAAGAACACTTAAAGTCCACTAATCAGCAATGCATGCGGTATCTGACTAGCATTTACTTCTGCATTCAGTGACGAAAAGCCAAAAAATTTAAGCCAACAATAACATTTATATTTTCAAACTCCCATTATTCATTCGATAATTCACGTGCCGTTCAAAAGAGTGTCGTGTAAAACGTGGATAACGAATATGCGGTGATTTGATGAGGAATAGAATTTCATTCTTCGTATTTTTTTCTATTTCTAGCCTTCAGCTACCGGACTATCAACAATTTAAAATCCATTTCCTAAGAAATTCAAACAGAGAGACGAAACCGAAGGGCCTGAACGTTCTTTCCATTAATTTAAACTTAAAAAAAATTAAACTTTAAAATGGTAAATGACATTGTGGCAAGAAGTACACAGAAATTTCCAAATAGCTAAAACTAATAAATCATGTTATTATTGAAGTTCAAATTAAAAAAAATACACAAACTGACAGTTTCATTTGATGGCAGGATTTTACTTGTAAGGAATGAAATCCTTTATTTGATCACAGATGGGGTTATGAAGAAGTAAAGGCGAAAGAAATCCAAATCAGACAACGGAACGAAAATAGCATGAACTTTTCAGTTCAATAGAAAGGATTAAGTTATAAAATTGATCCTACCAAGAAAAAAAGCTTAATAAGATTTTCTATTCTACAGTATGAAATATAGCTTTAAATAAGAATCAAAATCTCACCAAACTTTTTCCGACCCTTGACATCATTATTTCAAAATACTTAAAAAATGACTGCCTCGCATTCTTACTTGACCTGCGCACATTATTCTTTAAACAAAAGAAAAAACCAAAAAATGAGAAAAATTATGGTGCATGAGGGTATGAAAAATACCTGCGAATAATTTTTACATGCACCACAAAACGATAGTATAATTTTTAAGAGGGAGCTACTTGGCAAATTAAGGGAATAATATATTTAATTTGGCCAGCTTGACTCCTGGATATTGCACCTCTCAATAGATTCTATTCATGTTCGAGAATAAATAAACTGAATGAAAAATAAAGTGATAGTTTTAGAATGGAAAAACATCAGTTTATTTTATTCTGTTCGGATTCAAAGTATTCATTTATATGGATTATTATTAATTTATATTAAGTTCCGTTAGTTAAATTTTGTTACATTTGTAACTGAAGAAACAACTGAAGTTCACTAGAAACTAAATTAAATGAAAGACAATCCGAAAAAGAGCAATATATGTCACATCTCTATCTGGAAAATTTGGAATTGTAAATATATTATTTCACCACTAGAGCTTTTTCTTTTTTTAACAAAGTGCACAGCGAACTTCGCGTAACCTGAACTAAATTTATAGGTCTTCGCTCTAACATAAATTTTAAGCCCTCTCTCCTCACCTTTCCTCGCTCAGTTTTTTGTGCCTCTAAAATCTAAGAGAATTATTCGAAAGAAATTTGTCGGACATTACATGATAGTTAATGATAGTTAATTAATGCCCAATTAATATCTTGAAGGAAGCTGAATAATGAATTATAGATAGTTAATTCTTTGGATATATTACCGGTTGGTTTTCCGTTTGGATGATTCATTTAAAGGGACGAATATTTTTGGAGAATGTTTCTTCCGTCAGTACAAATCACACTCACTGTGTATGTACCATTAATGATGCACAGCATGGCATGAACAATGAATGACGATGATAATAATGATGTTGATTGTAAATGACTGATAGCGATAAAGGCGACAAAGAGATGACGATAATTGTCCGTGATAAGATTACAGATAAGGCAGGAAAAGAAATGAGAGAAGCAGATAAAGCCAAAAGGTTAGATTTACCCTCAAAATTACCGAACTATACTACTTTTACAAATAAAGATACCACAAGGTCAAACCCCGTACACAAATCTACAAATCGCTGTCTTTCCCAGGAACATCACCTTGCATCTCGCATAATATATAGTAATGAACTAACCATCTTTCGATTCAACAACATAACTATTTTTCGCTTCCTTTGCCTTTTTATTCTCCTTACGCCTTTTAGCAATAGCGCATTTGTCCTATAAATTATACTGTCAGCAATTTATCAAAAAAAGTTTCTCAAAACTTGCAAAAGAGTGCCATATTTTAAAATGAAAGAGTAGTATGATCAAATCAAAGGTTTCAAAAATTCTTGAACTCTTTATATAGCCATTGGAATTAACTCATGCCATAACTTCCTTTCATTTCGTTTTAATCATATGTTAGAATGAGGCAACAAACTAGGAGAGTAAGGGAGGGAAGGAGAAGGATAAAAATGATAAATGTAAACCAACAGGTTGATTTTTCAGGTTGGCCATTTCGTTATCCAAATTTGCTTGCTGCGGATTCTGAAATGAATAAAAGTGTTAAATTTGCTATAAAAGATAACAAAATGTGGAATACAAAATTGGGAGCAATTAGCCAAGGAATTTGCCAGTAAGGACACTGTTGAAAGCATCCTTAAGGCACAGCGACAAATGAGAATTGTCACTGAGAAGTAGAGGCCAATCAATAAATACAACAAATGCACGCTCACATGTACATCCACTCCTGTGGCAACCATTCTGGCAAATGTTACAAAATCAAAGCAGTCCTTTTGCAAAAACTTTTTTAAATATTTTTGTGAAAAAGTAAAAAGATGAAATGGAATAAGACCGAAAGTGCATCAGGGTTTTAAATAAGCATGTTGCCTTCACAATCTTTCTGCCATTTCGTTCTCTACACAGTACAGTAGCAGAATGATTAAATAAGCATTTAGATACAGCATTAGCTATCTAATCAAAGTTATTTGAACAGACCATACCGTTCCTACCCCCGCCAAGCAATTTACCACAACTTCATTTCCTAATCTTGTCCATCTTCACTAAACTACTTTTTGCTGCATACAAATCTGAATTAAAATAGCAATTTCCAATTTTCAATGTATCAACCATTGATCTCCTATCAGTCAACCGAATCTTCTTTCCTTTCACTTTAAATCGTATAAAAAGAGCCATTTAGCATTTTACTTAGTGAAGAGAGACAGAAAAGCTAACTTATTTCCTTCAAATAGCCTATTCGTGACACATACGAAATATATATATCAATCACTACAGGTTCTCATCAATTTCTTTCCTCGTCACACAGCTGCAGTAACCAAATGTGACCGGGAGAAACTAATTTACTGAGGGAAACTTTTTCATTCCATTCCTCTAATTCTAGTGCTCTCATTTCAGCTAACAAGACTTTTTAATCAAAAATGAGCATCGATAAGGCATATTGGGATAAAAATAATGAACATCATCCAGTTGTTTGCCGAGCAATTCAAATGTCGCAGGTGAAATGCATCATTTTTTGCCAAAAGTAAAACAATATAATGAAGGAAAAAGAAAATGTAAAAGAGTCTGAAAGTTTTACAAGGATGGATCGGTTGAAAAGATTAATTGCTAGAGCCATATATGAAGAATAAAATGATCGAAATAGTAGGATAGAGAATCACTACAATCGTTTTAGGAAGAGCAGTACAGGAACACAGAGAAGGCATTTCAAGCTGCTGCTATTTATAGAATCATTCCTTACTATCTTATTTCCTGATTCATACAGAATGAACGTTGAATTAAAACGATTTCGAAAGAAAGAAACATAAAAGCACCCAACGTTACAAATAAACCTCTATTGCATCACTTTCCCTCTTCCTCAAAAACTCATCAGTAACAATTCGTGAAAATATTTTGAAAACTTTCATAAAAAGGCTTGAGAAAATATCTTCAACAGAGCACACTCATATCATCACTACTGATTCACATGTTAAGAAACGATAAAAAAAATTTGTTCAAAATAAAAGGAAAAAAACGGAAATTGAAAATTTACTTAGTTATTACAACTTACCATTGGAATATCAATCATATTTTTTATACAATCATTAAAAACCGTTACACCGAGCTGGTTTGGTGGTTCTTTTTGCCTCATAATTTTCTATCCCAAGCAAAAACAGAGCATCTTTAGACTCTTCTCATAGCTCTAGAGAATGATGTGAGCTTCATAATTACAAAACATCTGATAGTAGTCATAGGTAGGCTGAATAAGTACATTACAAGTTATAATTCGGGTATCTTATAGATTGTATATGTTATTGTTTCCGAATAAAAATTATTTCCAATCAGTAAGTTAAAAGCTATACCAATTGAAGATTATTTTAATTCAAAACAAGAACTCCTTCGTCCCAGTACCAACATCCTTTTGCTCATCATTCACACTTAATGAAAACCCAATGGTAATTTTCGATAAAGCAACAAATAATAATTCTTCATCATTCTGTCACTATCAACATTCATATTGTAAATGCTAGACTGAAATAGAGCAAGAAATTTAAATAAATAAAAAAACTCTAAAATGTTTTGGAGATAGTTAATAACAGATAGGACACTACAATGACAGATCTGATTACTAACAGGAATAACTCACTTTATGCTCCAACACTGATAAACACTAAACGAAGAAAGCAATATTGATTTGCATTGGATATTATGTTGCAGTATTTATCATTCAAGTTCAGTAAAGATAACTGTAATGTTGTCACAAATATCTAACAAATTGAAGCGAAAGAAATTAAAGGTTAAACAACAACCGAACTAACCGGTATGAAATAGATCATGTCCGGTTCTTTCCGTCTTCATTACCCACTGCAACTTCCATGAAACAGTCCAACAACAAAATTCCGAATGTGCTGATAATTTACACGAATGCATTCGAACGCTTCAACTATTCTGGTTGAAGAAACGGTAACAACTTTTTAATTTTAATAAATCACCCATATACTCCATAGGCACTTAATACACAATAGGTATAGAACAGAAAATCAAAATGAAACGGCAAAGAGTTGAAAAAAAATTTTAATGTCTATCGAATATAAAGGTGAGTTATTAAAATTGAAAAAGTTCAGGGATTCATTTATCAGTAAGTATTGAATCTATAAAAACAGTTTATATTTGTCATTTGATAAAATATCAATCCCGACAATCCACGAATTTAGGATCTCAAAGTAAATATATTATTCATATCCATCTAAAACATATTACTAACAAACTGATCAAATCAGCATACATCCTAAACTGCCAAATGTTAGATGATTGCCAAATGCTTATCCAAAAATTAATATATCTTTAATTCTCTTCTAATACCAAGACTGCAAAATCTTATAGAAGTGATAATAAAGACAAAATGAATACGTTATATTCACTTCTAATTTTAAGAATCCACTGCAACCGAAATTCCGAACAATTTTAAAATTTTCAAGAAGAAATAAAAGCTACCATGGTATAGTTAAGTTGTTCAGCAATTGACAATAACTCTTCCACCCTTTTCCCTCTTCAGTCAACTGAAATTGTAGCAACTTTAACATAGATGCGAGAAAGAGAAAGAGAAGGGTAACGATTGAGGAAAACCGCTTATTAATGCTAATTGACAATTTATTTTATTTTTAACAAACGAGGAATGTCAAGGATGTTAGAAGTCAACAGCTAAATAAGATCTTTCCTTACTAATGATAATATAATCAATTTAAGTCAGGTTTTTTTAAGATATCTTTTTCATCAATCAATATAAGACAAAGTTCCCAGTATTGCTAAAATGTTTTTTTTGAAAAAAAATCCGTTTAAAAAAAGAATGCTCTTCCCAATGATACTGAAATTTCGTCTTTTTATACGCAGCCCTCAATCAATATAACCAGACGGCAATTGGTAACATCGACAAAAGCACCAGCTGGTAGTTGATAGAATTAACCGCTAGTTAGTGATAGTAGTCGACGCTTTTTGGACCACTTTTTCCTAAAGGCAGACAGTGACAACGCTACACATGTCTTCCCTTACTAACGTTCAAATATATGTTTGTTATAAAAACATCAATTAATGTTGTAGACGTATTTGGATCTAGGCATTTGATTTATCGAGTTTTATTTCTGGAAATTTCTTCTGACGTACTAGGAAAGTCAACATGGAATAGCATCAGGAAGACAAACAGTAAAAAAGGAATATTCTTGATGAGAGCATGACCATGACAACAGGAAAAAATGAATAATCCATTCGTACTTTTCCTTAAATTGTTGTTCTCAACTTGAAAATGGAGTAAGGATAGTGACGTTTCTTTTCTTAGGCATATCTTGGAGAGAACATGGAATGAACAGCATTAAAGAAGCAATAAGAAAGAAAGAGAGCGAATGTTGTTATCGTTGTCATCATCATCGTTCATCTATACTTACACTCCCTACCGGAGCATTTCAGTTGCCTGTGCAAAGCGATAAAACAACACACGATCAAATTCCAGATTTCAACCCTATTCTATCTCGTTCCTGGTTCCTGTTCTTTTTTGTCTCTTTAACACAATGTTTCTAAAGTTTGTAATGAGCAGGATAACCTCGGGTCTTCGAAGCACAGCAATGATCGTAATGGTTAACAGTAATAAAAATAACAATGATGTGGCTAACAAGCAAAAAATGTTCATAATGGCACACTGGGATCATAAGAATAACGATTAAGATAAATTGCGCACCAAATTTACAGTGAAATAAAGCTAATTAAGTGCATTTTGGAATGAAATCTGTGCCACCCAAACTGAGCAGGTAAAAGATGGACAAATACAATGCTCATAACAATAAAATTTATTCATCTATCAAAATGCTTCATCACCACAACAATCGCATTACCTGCCGGCCAAATCTCCTACATCCCTTGAATTAACCTTCTCTAAATCTGTCATCTTCCATACCATCAAATTTAATCCTTTCTAATGCTAACAAATTAATTAATGACTAACTACACTGACCGTAATATAGCCCAATTTCTTCAACTATATTTGTAACCTGACATCTGATACTTCAAACCATGTTATTCACTATAAAACTAACTAGTTGACAAGTTAAATGGCATGGTTACGCAGATGAAAGGCTAATGTTACGTGAAATTACTGATGCATCAAATAATTGTTCTGGTTATCGCAGTAATGAATACTTTTTCATGTTTTGACTTTTATGGAAAAAAATTGAGTAAAATTGCATGGAAGTTGTACTGAAAATGAAAATATCGGTCAAACAGTTTTCAGCATTCCAAGATAAATAAATGGGTAGCTTTTACTTATGTCATGAAAAATAACTGGGGACACAACAGTTCGGTGCGCTTAAATATACTTCAGAAATATTTTTAAAAACTAGGACTTGATTACTTCATCGCTTCCTCACTTAAGATACTATGACCACCGAAAATAACCAGTTAGTTAGTCTCTGCAGTCTAGTTTCAATGGTCATAATCAGATTTCAACTTGCCTTACGAATCTGTCGAAAATGTTTATAGTGCTGACCTTATAAGTATAAGATTTTAAAATGATAGGGTAGTTTTAAAAAAAGAATAAATTAGGAAATAAAATGTCGGAAAACTGTTTGCCACTGGATGGATGTACATGAGTACACTACCCAACTGTGATGCTTACAAAGCATCTTGATCGCTGCGAAGACGAGCGCACCGAAATGATGCATATGTACATCCTTCAACAATAAATAATAATAGCAATGATATTAAAACGATAACGATAACAATATAATTTATTACTGTTTCGCTTTAATTTACATATAAATAACAACAGATATTTGCATTTAGCTTAGACGGTAATATAATTGAACTTCATAGAAGATGTCGTTTTAACGGATAAATTTGTCAATTTTAATAGTACTCTTATTATTTATTGTTGAAGGATGTGGTTATTCCCAGATCTTTATTTAAAACCTAATCAAATTTTAATCCATTTAAGAGGGGATAAAGAAATAGAATTTCTTTATCGTTAGCCATTTACATGAAAAACATCGCCAAGAAAACTGAAATATAAAACTAAGTATACAAATAAAATTCTATTACATTAATATAAAATCAAAAACAAGAAAAAATGAACTAACAAGGCGAGTGTCCTCGGTTGGATCCAAAAGCCCTTTCGCATAAGTTTCACGTCCATCGAAGTGTGCCGGTATCAGTTCTCGTGCTAAGATCGAATTTGATGTATCAGCCGGTATCAAGCTTACTGCAATTATTATTAAATGTTGCCAAGCCAAAATAAACTGATGAAGGAAAAATTAATGGAAATTATAACGTCCAACATGCATTCTGAAGCATTCATTCATGCATAAACATAACAAAGACAAAAAAAAGAAAAAAATGAAAATTTGCTACTAGACTATAATATACAACACATCTTTTTACAAAAATTTTCTACGATTGAGGCATCGGGAACTGTTTATACTAAAAAGAGCAATACAAGCCACTATGCTAACTTTTTTCCAACATTTCCGAAGAAGAATGGTTACAAGTAATTAATGTAGTCTCTCTCCATTCTCAATAAAAACGTGAAAGCCAATATCAATAACAAGATTACACCCTTATATTTTCAGAAGTAATGAACCTCATAATTATTTTTCATTATATCCCCTCCGAAGAATGCATAAATCGTTCTTACAATTCAGTGCGAAAAAGTTGAGAAATGTTTTCTCGAACCACTAACTCTGGAACTTGTATTTGCAATCTTCTTTACAGATGGAAATTCTCATAATTTAAACCCATCTCTTGAAAAAATCAGATTTGAAGTTTTCCCAATTCTTGCACAACCAAAGAACTTTCAAGAGATCACCTATAGTTATACAAAATGTTGGTCCTTCATATCAACACATATAGAATGCAGAAAGGATACGTATAAACAAAATAAATTTTACGTCATATATGTATTATGGAATAACTGTGGTAAATCACAAAACACTTTCTGTTACAAATTTAAAACTCAGTTTTGTATGAATCAGCATTCTCAAAAGATATGTAATAATAATCCTACACGTTCTTCACTAAACAACCTATGAAAATGAAAAACTGCCGCCCACAAATGATTCTTGAAATGATAGCTATAAGCAAAATTGATGAAAATTTATTCTCTATGACTTGAAAAAATCAGTTCTTTCTATCAATCCATAACGCCAGCATTTCGCCTAACATAAATATCAATTTAAATATCAATAAGTATCAATTTGGAAATTAACACGGGGACAGTTAGTTTGTGATGTAGGTAAAATGAAAATAAGATAATACAGCAAGAATATCCATGACGTAATTAATGGACCGGATAAAATGCACAACTTAAGCTATATCTGCAAATTTAAACTTCACAATTTCATGGAAAAAAGACGAGGGAGAGGCAAGAGAGGTAAGAGAGAGCTAAAGTAATAAAAAAGTAAAGAGCCTTATGAGACAAACAAAATACTTTATATCCTGACGAGTACGAAAGAGTGATGAGAACCACCATGATAATTCATGATGAAAAGAGATGAACAAATAGATTACCTTGTCAGATTTCCTGCAATAGGACTGCATCCAGGAACAAGTAATATATCAACCTACGCCAGGCTAAAATATTTCCTATCGATCCGATAATTTGAGGCATTGTTCGCTTCATCAGTAGCCTTATAAAACGATATGCAATCATAGAAGAACGGAAAAAGAAGGCGAAAATTTTAAAATTTACAGTTCGGAAGCAATATTGCCCATGGAAAGGGTGGCTGGTCTATTTCCGTTCATCGTTGATTCAGTGGATGGATCAACAGGTCTAGCTCTAACGAAGGCGAATGTAAAGCTGAAGGGTGTTATTACTTTCAGGACTGATTGACCAGTAAAAAAAAAAAAGAATTTATTTGCTCTCTTCAGGCAAATCAATATTTCGGTGCTACTTACAGCCAAGTGATGAAACCAGTGCAGGTCGAGGATCACTGGTTGCCAGAACTTGAAAATGGTACCAACAATTCCAGTTCTACTTCCAAATATATTTGACGATAGAAATATTCACATATCACTCAATAAAACAAGCCGCATGATGTTGTTGTTGCAAAGAAAATCGGCACTAACAAAAAAAAAATGGCTAATTAAGATTGATCATTTCTCAATAGTTCGGCGTATCAACGGGCTAATCCGTCTTTAAGCATTCACATTATCGCAATTTTAATAGACAGTTAGGCAGCATACTATCATCACAATTTGAAATACACATTATCAAACAGTTGCTGAAAATCATGTGTAAATTATTATATCATGTTTTGGAATAATTATTTAAAAAATAAATACGATGGAGGTTTTCGAATGTCGTACAGTCAAAGAAGTAATTTTGTCGCATGCTATAAATAAATTCAAAAAAAGGAGAAAAGTATAGAAAACACGAACACACATAGAGTGGACTCACAGAAAGTTGGACTGACGTATTCCTTGTAGGTGAAATCACACTCACCATCAGCTGCCAGGAGATCCCTTTTTACTCCTATTGTACGGGATTTTTGCATATCGTACGTACCAACTCGATTTCCATGTAGGCGTAATTGTCCCGCTGAATAGGTAAATGGATTCTGCAACAACAATAGCAAAAATTTCAATGGAATTTTTGAAACCGTCTTTTCTTTTTACAACATTATCTATCCAACATCATAATTCTAAGGACGGAGAAGGGCAAGGAAAGATCTGCTGCCATTATTCCTCTTTTTCTCCTTTTTCTACCTTTCAATTCTAAATCTGATTTGAAATCCATCAAATCATTTTGTTTGCACTAGTCTTTTTTCTCAAAATACATTCAGAAAAGAAAATTGGCGGGGGAAATTTCCGGATTACAGAAAGAGATGGTTTGAAAGATATGCAGGGATTACTTGCAGTAAAGCCCGCCAAACAGACGCAACCAACCACAGTTATCCTTCCGCTTCTTCAGTTTTCCCTTCACTTCCTTATGTTAATCATTGCGTTTAGTTAAATTTAAAATATGCTAACATCATCATGCTTTCCTTGAGCATTGATAGCTGCACTGGCTTCAGTGCCCTTTTGAATCCCATTCTCTGTAATGTTTGCTTCAGTAATTGAAACACTTTCGATTTCCTTTGAAACTTTCGACATAATGTTAACCATCACTTCATCGTCGTCACTATCGTTTAGCGCTCGAATCTGTAAATGTTATCTTATTTCGACTTTCTCCCTCATTGATTCTATTAACAAAAAAAAAATCCAGATTCGAAGCTATATGATCTAAAAAGTAAACGATTGAATTTCAATTCTTTGTAGACTAAAAGTAAGAGACGGTAATTCTAGATTGCCGCAATGTATTATGAAAGGGTGACGCAATGCAGGCAAATCATGATTCAAACAAATCTGCAAGGATGCCGGTACTGTTACGACGATCGCCAGAAACATCGTCAAACATTGACCACTCTTCACCGGGTCATACTATTCAACTATCTTCTCATGATAGTGTGATCACAAGATGCAAAATAATTCATTTCGATTTTTTATACGCCATAGAAACAAATCATCATGAATATCTTCCTGATAAGAGAGAGAGAGAGAGTCGAAAAGTAATCAAGTTCATCTCGGATTTTTCTCAGTTAGATAACAAATAAGTTTTTATCGCACAAGACACCGAAATATTAAAGTGATAAACTAATTATTAAAAGACTAATTTTAATCACCACTCACACATGAAACGTTTAAAAAATGAAGCACGACTAAACCCTTCTTATCAAACTTTGAGTTTTGTCAAACAAAGGAGATAGCCTACTCCTGTTACTCAGCAGCACCTCCCAATCTACTTCAGTATAAGTAATATTTTTTATGCTTCAATATATTTACATCATATTTTTCGAAAATTTCCAGCACAATTAAGTCCATATTGAAAAAAATACAGAATTTTCAAATTACATACGGATTCATTCTTTTTTTACATATGAAACTGATTAAATTGAAAGCTTGCATTAAAATCACTGCACTGTCGAAGATTTTAAATTCATTTCATTTCAGGGAAGAAAATTGGTTGAATAAGAAATATTTCGGCACAAAAACTTTTCACAACAGTACCACTCTATAATGACTAGCTTATCCAGCATTACTCCATCCAGTCATATACATATCACTGAGAGAATTACCAAACATTGGAAAAGGATCACAAATGTTTTCTCGCATCACTTCGACTCAATCACTGTAGGTCAAACCCTTTGACAGACAATAAGAATGCAATGTTAAAGATTTTAAGTCGGAGGAATTTCGTTGTATTTTGAATAAGATAATGAAAAAAATAGCTAAATATTTTGAAATTCTTGCAAGAAATTAACAGAGCAAGAGAAAAAAATTAGCATTTATGTCTTAATAACCAACTTGCATATTAATCAATCCTCTCGTTTTCTGACATTGAATGCAAAAGTGAATTAGGGAAAAAAAACTCAATTTCAAAATGAATCCAGTATTTCCGTCCTACTCGCTTCCTGTCACAATTTTTCCTCATTTTTAAATTTCGCATGCTATTGAAAAGAAACAATCGTTTTCTTTAAACTGAAAATGGAAGAAAATTTTCATTTGAATCATGCAGTTAGATTTCATTGTGACATCTTGCTACATGTCTTTCTTACTGATATGAGTCCAAGAGAAACCTTTCCAATATCTCCAAAAGCATTACTTTAAATATTCAACCGAAATGTGCAGTATTTTACTTGGTCTTCAAATTGAATCTTTCTGATGAAACGATAGTCGACGAAATTGATACATTCATATTTCTATACAAGATCGACATCAACTACTATGTTATCCAATTAATCAACCATAATTTTTTAGTTTCTTATGAAGAATTTCGTTGCATTTGAATAAACCAATGAAAAAAAACAGCGAAACATTCCGAAATTCTAGCAAAAATTAATAGAGCAGGAAAAATTACCTCTTGAACTGAATTGCCTTGCGTATAAACATTCTTGAAACCGCTACCATTCATGTGTCCATTTTTATCCTCTCCAATATACATATTTGAAGAGCTGAAGAACCATTTAAATCCTAACTTATTTAATATATTTAACTGAATGCCAATTCACAATTTAAGAAAATGCGATATACCATTCATCTGACAAATTAATATTAAACATGCACTTAAATATTTGCCTAACCACTATTATCCTTCCAATCTGAATTGCCTTTTGAGTTCTGTATCATCAAAACACTGCACTTGACAATAAACATACCGACAGCGATTGCCTGCGCGTTCATCCTCATCAATGGATGCTATTTTGTTCGTATTCGCGCACCCGTTTTCAATTGATGATACAGAATTCAACTCACTACAACAAATCAATCCGTCATTGCAAAAAAATAGCATAACTAATGACTCCTATCTCTATTTTACAATTCAAAGTTTAACATATATTCTTCATGACAAGTAATCACAATATATATGCTTTGTTCCAAGACATTCAAATACAATAGAACTTACTTGAAACTGATAACAATACCAGATGACTTATTGACCGTTTGCGTTGCACGCGAAATGTCCCCCAAAGTACATATGTCGTTAGTATTCATGGTATCACCATTGGCCACCGCATGGGTAAGTTCCTGTTCAACTGTAATCTTGGACGATTCATCCGAAGTCAAATTGACCCTTAGGAAGCTTTTAGTCTTATAATCATTACTCGCATTATTATCTCCATATTTCGTATACTTTGACGGTAGCCGTGCTTCCCAGCTTTCCTGAAAGGATTCATCCCGTTAGTTAGAGCTTCAACGTTGAAGATTTCGATAATAATTATAACAAATATGTGAGTTTGATTAATATACAAATAAGTGAAGTAGCCCTGATAGTTGGTCAACATCCGGATAGGTAGGTGAACGCTACAACAAGTAGATACTGGATGACTAATGAACGTGTAATTCAACGGATTATGGTCATCTGATAATGGGTGTGCAAGTGCACTGCAAAATTGTAAGCAACTTCGCAAACGTGTTGGGAAATTAAGTTCAAAACAGTATAAATGGAATTATCATATTTTATGTGAAATATTTTAGACAAGAAAGAAGAAAGAGGAAAGGATAGATTTAATTCTTTCAAACATTAATTTCTAATCGTAAACGAATTTGATTTGTAAACAATCCAATGAGACATCTCATTTATTTGCTAAGAGACTCTGTATTAGCAATTACTTCAATAGCAGTAATTCCGATAATCAAGAATAAAGCTGAATAATGAAAACGTCATGTGAAATTTTATACCCGCTAAATAAGCAGAATATTCAGCTGATTTGTAAAAGAAATATCTCTACACGACTTTTTGATGTCCTCAATATATCGCATTATCCCAGCTGTATAAAAAAAATTTAATCTATGCCTTAAGAAGTTAGCAACATTTGAATTATATTATTCTTTATTAAATAATGAGGAAAAACTTCAAATTTACAAATTTACTGGAGCTTCCTCTAAGTCTTGTCACTTTGTAATAATGGAAAACAACCAAGACCGTTTATAAGAAAATTTCGTAAAAGTTTTGGACGAAAGAAAAATTACTTACACTATATAATTCAAGTCAATTCTACGACTAAAATCCGCTGATGAGGCAGTAGAATGGTTGCCATTATTTAAGTATGAAACAGAGTTAAAAAATAGAAATTAAATAAATAATACAAACCTGCTCAGTATACTTCTGCAGAAGTTCGAATGCACGTGACGTGGCAGCAGCTTCTTTGATAAAGACAGTTACTGTACGTTGTTGTTCTCCCCTTTCTGTAAGAAAAAAGAAATAGACAGATCGATATTTATCAACAAATTCAGCAAATAAGATGGACATAGTAATTTTCTCAAGAGTTCATGCCATTTTCTCTGTTAACTTATAATGGACCAAAAGGTCATCTTAGTAAAGCTAGAACATATCATTCCACAAAAATTCTGGAGAAGAAAATCTATTGGTTCTGAAAAAGTTTCACGGGAACCTTGGCCCCTGTAACATGTTGTGCACAAAATTATAGAATCGACTGATACAATTTCATATGTAATAAAATATAGCAAAATTAATACTTAAAACTATAAAGCTTAGAAGAATCAATTCACTATAACTAATCCAAAAATTACATGCAAACAATTGTTCAATTATTCCATTATAATTGAAAACAATTTCATACAGAAACATAATCAAATGATTAAAATCCAGTCCTCTTTAGACCATTTCTCCACAATTATATCCCGAAATCTATCAGTAACTAAAATTATTTCATTTTGAAATTGGAGGAGCATCTTCCTTGGGATTACCAAGCTCACTTTTTGCAATAAACACTCCGATCGGCTGATATCACAAAAGCAGACTACAATGTCACGTTAGGCAGTGCAAAATTGAACAAAAGCAACGAAATTAAAAAAAAAAATAAATAAGGAAGCTATACATAATAAGTATGAAAAAAGCTGTAAAGCACGAATTCCTTCAAAATTTGCGCAAAAAGTAAATGAGAAAATAGAAATAGTGAATGAAACAAAATATTATTTGAACGAAATCCATCCCGTTATATTATTAAAATTAACAGAAGTAAAACTAAATAATCTCTCGTATATCCAAAAACATTTTTTAAGCAAGAAAAATCTTCAGAATAAGTCATTATTACTTCTGAGAAGTAACGGAAAATTTTTTATCCTTTCTCGCAAATTGTTTTAGAACACCTCATTCTTTAGTCTTTTATAAATTCTTTTTTCGGATAGATAAAATGAGAAATTCTATGAATATCAAAGCAATTTGTGAATGAGTTTGGATAAATTACTGAGAAATACCACATCTACTTAATCATACAAAAAATGATATCAAGCTATATGGCAATAACCTGACCATAAAAAAATTCCAGTTAGAAATATAGAGGTTCCTGAATTAGAACCAAGTTTTGATAACAAGTTCCTCAAAGTCGACTGAAGGAAGAATTTCGAATTTAATAGAACTAGTCATAATTTTCACCCATAAACCTGTAAATTTCTTGATACACAAACCCACGAAACTGAGAAATCATTCTAGAGTAATATCTATTGTCAAAATGAAAATCATAATTTTCATTTGATGATTTCTTGTGTAACTTAAAATTGCTGTTAAAATAAGTGAAAAAGATATATGTCTTGAAATCACTAATGAAACTACCAATAATTATATTACCATAACTTTACACATATAATACACAGATAGTAGTTTCAAAAGTAAGCAACTTCAGAATAAAGAAAAATAATGAGAAAAGCAAATGATATACAGACAACTGAAGGTAACCAGAGGATTTCCTTTCGATCCTCACTAGCACCATTAACACCTTCATCAACAGCACTGCTAAATTTCTTCCTCCATATTTTTCTCTTTACATATCAAAAAAAGACATACACACAGATATATACCTAGAATTAATAGAAATACGACGTAAAACATTATAAATAATGGCGCGGAAGCGGCAGTCTAAATACATTAACATTTATTGCTCATTGAATAAAAAGCAAGAGCATCAAAAGGTTAGTTGAATTGACACTAATAATTAGAATAACACGTATTCTTTGCAATCTTCAACATTGAAATGCAACATATATTTCACCCAATTGTGTTGAAAAAAATCGATGACAATTCATTGACTTCATCTCGACGTATCAACAACTCTTTTCTTATTTCCCTATCTCCTTCTTAGTTGGTCTGTTAACGAAAAGAAATGTTTTCCATGATTAAACAAATGGTGCATGATACAAAAGAATATAATTTAGTTTTCATATTGCTGTATTATCAGTTTGTTCAAATCATGTGCCACATACATACCGTTGCACTCCGTTCTCCGTCTCACAAAGCACAATTTTATTTACTTTTCTTTTTGGAGTACATATTCTTCGTTTTCCATCAACATAATATTTCCTCTTCTTCCCATTGTAATATTTTAATTCAACTAAGTTTGAATTTGAGAATATCTAAAGATGTAAGTTTTTTGTCTCCAACACGTAACATTCTCTGGTGTTTTAATGCCTATAGCTACAAATGTCTATTCGTCTCGCACAGCTTATCCTATTTACATGCCGCGTTTATCTGGTCATTCTACAAGTCTCCGGCAGAGCGAACATAACAACACAGAAGTACATGACCTAAATATTTTTAGACAATCTCAATATAAGCGAAAATTGTTATAGATATTAGAAATATCCTCTCTTTTCTTCTTTCTCAATCTATTATTTTAGATAGGATTCATTTTAACATTGTAATAATCTCTTTCATCAATATAAGCACCACCTTGAGCAATTTTACCTGGAGATACAATGAGAATGGTTGCTGAGCACAGCTACACTTATTCTCATAACCATCTCTCTGAAGTTAGAGAAAAACAAAGCGAAGAATTATTTTTTAACACTAACGCACCATCTTTCTCCATTATCCTCAAATGTTCTTTTTTTGTGGGTTGTGGGCTCCAATTCCAAATTTTTAATTTCTTGTACTCATTTTTCGATGCAAAAATATTAGTGATATATGTTTAATTGCTATTTATTCAAAAATCTACTTATATTTTAATTATCTGATTGTGCTAAAAACCATTTAGTACCAACTTATAGCAGTTATTACAATTAACCTAATATCAAACCATAAACTATATCATTTTCGATTGATTTCCCATTGGTACAAACGATCTTTGTTGATATCGGGTGGACGGATTGTAAAATATTGGTTGATATCGGTTGTAGGATAGGTTAATGACTAATATTGTTCGGCTTATAAATATTTCACCAATGTTGTTCGGCTTATAAATATTTCACCTGCTTTAATGTATTATGATTTTTCTCACTTGATCGAATTTACAGCCCTAATTCACTTAGCATAATAGTAGCTGAAATCTTGTAGGATATAACAAAATTATACAAAATTTAAATGCACATAAGTTAGTAAGAGTCTTAAGTCAACAGAGTAATGCGTAAAGAATTTCTGTGTAACAAGAGCATGATCAAGGTGAAATATCAAAAACATAATATGATTTGCATAATATGATCGATATTTAATGCAGGAAAGTGCCAAAAAAAATAGAAGCAAATAATAACTTCAATTTTAGTTTTGTCAAACGATTATAAAGATCTTCCTGACGAAATGTTCTCTGAAAAGCTAACTGCATTCATGGATAGAAAGTTATAACGAATCCTTTCATCTGGATAAATCTATCCAAAAATAAAAGCAAATAAAATTGGCTAGGAATTTACATAGGTTTCCAATTCTAAAATCTTGCGAAGTCTTTCATTCCCGCATTACCATAAGTTTTTAACACATATTCTCAGAATATTCCTAGAATTTCCAAAATATTTTCTAGAATTTCCTTAAAAAATGATTCCCTATCAGCATAAAATTGAGATTTCCTTTTATCAGCTATCAGTCAGAAAATTATTGAAGTAATTCGGTATAAAATCGTTCTTAAAGTTTTGAAAATCTAATTAATATTTGAAATACTTTGTGATTTGAATTGCTCGTCATTTCGATCTTTAAAATTATCGAACCTTTAATACCAACCAAATTATCTTTTAATTGCAGGCTTTCAATTCCAAAACGACATTACTTCATAAATTCCATCAAACAAATAAAAGAACAACAGATAAGTCAACAGACGAAAGATTCATGAAATCATTTTCATAATGCATCCCGTATTCTGGATACTGATAATGCCAGCCTACTTCAGATATGGTTTGTTTACTATTCCTTGGTTTTTACCACTCATCGAAAATTTACTTTTCATTGCTTTTTATCCATACTGGTGAGAAATTCTTGAAACCATCTTCATCAATGTATGGAAGTATGGAAACAATGATAACCAACAATCCCGACATAGTGTTAACTGATGATCAGAAAAAATCAGGAATTACCCTCGGAACAAAATCATTTTGAAATTAGTTACTCATATTTCATTGTTAGTCAAAAACTTGAGCCGTAATCAATTGCTTGCTTGATCACCTAACCATTAATCGAACACCTAAGCGTAACTTAAATCTTAGTCGAAAACTTGGTTACAATTTGCTTCACCTTCGTAATACTTTGCTTAATTGAGAATTTATAATGCTAAGCAATAGATTGAACTTTAAAAGGTAACTTAGTCACAGCCATTAATCAATAACTTATATCATGTCTAGTACTCCGAGCATGTAACGAGCGTACACAATTCTTTTATGCCCTTAACCAGAAATTTGATTTCATCTTTGTTCCAGAATTTCTTTTTCGCCAACATGATTGTCTGTATAGTATTTTATTGCACACTTGATTCTAACTCAGATATCATGCCACAACCACCTCCTGTCAATTACCTTATATCTTACAGGTTAGAGCAGACAATCAATCAGTTAAATTTCATTTCCAGATTTGTTCACATTATTTCCTACTAAATTTTAATGTGTTCATTCTGTTTTAAATACAATTAAAACATTAGTGGTCCAAGTCATTATGGAACTTAAGCGTAATTTCAGCAGAATGCCTCAAATGTTACAGTTGTGATGGTCCTGCGGATTGTGCTTATCCACGAGAAGAATTATGCCCCCAAAATAATGAATGTTTTACTGTTGCTCAAAACTATGATATAAAATTAAACGGTAGGTCTGAAAAAAATAAAATACGCAAAGAAACGAGAAAAATAAAGTTCGTGGGTTAAGAACTACCTCATAGGATGCTCCAATAAATTCTCTTTCACCTTTTCTCTATTTGCTCAGTTTTCAAAAATTTTTCCGAAACTTTATTGGTTCAAATTCTAATATTGCATGAATTCCAATCTCCTCATGAAATAAATATACGTCATCGAAGGATTTGCATATTTCGAAACATGATAGTAACAAGAAATCTTGGACGCCTCTCAATATTTATATATTCAAACATTCAGACACAAATAATTCGATGATGCTTAAGGTAAAAAAACATTCTTCAAACCCTGATCCCCATTACTGAGATTTTTCTTTACAGGTCTACGGAAAGGTTGTTCGCCGACATGCGATCGGGTAAATATTAAAGGAAAGTTATGCAGAACTTGTAAATTCGAATTATGTAACGGAAAAACAGGTAAAAGACATTCTACACAAGACAGATCTCATTAGGAACTAAAAATCGAACAACAATAAATAATATTAAGTTGAGTTGCCAAATTGTGCCTCATTTAGATTTCATTTTTAAAAATTTTCAGAACACAGCGGAGACTAATTCTTACACTATCAATAATATAATAACTTAAACTTGAACTAACAAGATAAGGTCATATTTTTGAGAAAAATGATAGAAAAATGGAAATACCATATCAAATAGTAACAGTAGTTTTCACACAGCGTGACTGAAGCCAATTTTCTTCTAATTTCGATCAAGTATGATGTGGAATTCCATTTCAGGTTTGGGAAAAGCATTCGAAAAACCTGCTGCTTTGCCGCCTCGAAGGCCTTTCGGTACGTGTTCTTATGATCATATTGGCGTAACAGATATCTGTTCCAGCCTTTCATATTTTCATTAACTATGCTTTGATAATCGCATCCTAATCTGCATTATTTTTCAACACATTGTAAAACAACTTCATGAATTTCAGGTCCCAAAAAAGGTGCCAATGGAAAGAAGAGAACATCTACATTTATCTACATACATTTGATATTAGTTTTGATTTGTGCAGCGCACCACTTACAGTCCCATTCTAACCTATGACTTATTCTCTCTTATTGTTTTTTTTTTCATGTACATTTTCCCCGCTAATCATCGAATCTGTTCAGTTTATTCCAATATTCTAAAAGTAATTTAAAACTCTGTGTTTCCTAAAATTGAGTTTTCTAAATTTCTAAATAAAAATAAAAAAAATTTAGCAAAAGAGAGAGAAGGATCTGCATCTCCTAATTTTTAGCTCCCCAGAACAAATGAATTTATACTTCAGATTTGTAATATCATCTTTTATTTTGACAATTAAATAAAAGTGAAGTAACGCATAGCGCAGCCTGAATATTGTCCACAAATGTCCTTATTCATTCAACCACAATTTTATTATGGCCAATAAATTCATGAGTACAGTTATGCTTTAAAATTGACCACTCAATTGCTAGGAAAAATGACGGTACTCATCCCACCTGCAGTTTAAATCATCTGAAATAAGATGAACAATTACTACTGGACGAACTAATAATTCAGATGATTTCTGAGCCTATTTTTCAAAAAATTATACACTAGAAATAAACCTATAAAACTCAAAAAATTGACAAAGTTACATCATATGCTTTAGTTTCGTATTATGAGTTTATAATATGAAATTTTTAACAATCTGGCCAAAATCAGTATAAGACTGAAACAAACATGTATTACATCTTTTGTTTATAGTGTCGCAATTATCGTGTGTGGTTTCTTGGTAACGAAATTCCTAATCCAAATTTGCAGTTCTATAAAAAACAAGTTTCTAATTTTTATAACTAATTCTTATTGTCAACCATTAAAGCAACTACTACTATTACATCTTAGAAAAACACACCAAAAACTTATAAACAATTACACATTTCTTCAACGAAACAACGAGATCCCATAACGGAGAACCAGTCAATTCGAACTTAAAGCAATGTAGTGTGAGAAAATTAAAGCAATGTGGTGTGGGAAAATTTTTTTCATCAAAAAAACACGGCAATATTTCCGTAGCTATCATTGTAGCTCTAACAAATGCACTAATTTAGTTCAAGAAAACGTAAGTCAATTATGAACAGTAAAAACAAACTGCAGAAGCTATACATACAATCAAATATCGACTGCCGACGTTTTGTATTAATTTAAAGAAAAAAAAATATAACATTCATAAAACAAAGGAAAATCCATTTTTAAGCAAGACCAATGTCTTGCGAATTCCCCACTACCTTTCTCTAATGTCAGTTTATTCGCATAAGGTTCCAAGATAATCATTTCTATCACCAAACTTTTAATATCTCTTCCCTATGTTCTTTTTTTAAACCATGAAAATACTTGATGAAAAACTAGCCAATATCCGCCTTTTGTTGACTCAGCTCTGCTTCACGTCGAAATTGTGCCAATAAATTATCTGCTTCTTCTGATAGCCCAGTACTTTCTCCCGCATCACTCAGGCGACGACCACCGTATTCCGCTGTTTTCTGCGACTTCTGAAATAGTTATATTCTATTTCTATTAGAAAATTGGGCTCAAATTGCATATAATCCTGAAATTTCAGACATAATTGTCCTCATATTTGCTAACAAATACTTTTTGCAAATAATAGCCTTCGATACATAGATGTAATGAATCTGATTAACATTTCAATGCTGTTATTTTTTGGCAAACTGTAGGATTTAAAAAAATTCTAAAGACGATAAAAAAAATAATAACGAAATGAAATTAGGACACAAACAGAGATAGATTGAAAAAACAGGTGGTATAGAGGGCCCAAACAAAAGAATTATTTAAACTTGAGCCATTGAACTGCTATAAATAGGAAAGAAAAACTGAGAATACAAAAAGGAAGTTTCTGTGATACCTGCGAACAAGCAACAGACTTGTTTACACAACCACATCAAATACAGACCACAGATGCTTTCCTATGATTTTATTACTTCAAGTACCATAGGTGGATGTACTATTGATTTTCACTATTAGAGTAATTCTCATATCTATATTCATGTAGAGTTGATGAGTTTGAAATTTGTTAACAAACAAACCTTTCTTTTTCTTTGAAGGCTACCATATTGCGGTTTTGCGGCAGTATTCAAAAGATTTCGGAAATCGTCATCATCCAAACTTCGCAGTGATATGGCTAAGACAGATGAATCATTTGTGTACATCTTATTCATCTGGAAGTTTTTTCTATTCCAAAACCGTTATTTCTGACATTTCCTCCAAAAAGCAATTCAATCCTCTTAACAATAATAAAAGTTTGGTAAAATGGCCTACAAACACTATAAAAGAATGGATGACTCGTCCACCTGACAATCATTTACTGGATATAATATTTTCATATATTATCTAAAAAGGATTACCAACAGGAGAAAAAATCACCAGAATAATTCAAAATGTATTTTAATAGCTGTATAGCTATAAGCTACTTTTATAGCTATAGAATAATCTGCTATATACTCATCAAGTCATTTATCTTTAAATGTCTAAATTATACTAGCTTTCAGGTTGTTTAATATTGCAATTTAAAACTCGTGTAAATACTGAATACGTATGAAAACATTTTGAAACTATGAGAACTGTATGTAAATGAAGAAAAAACTAGCCTCATTAGTAGTTTCATTATTATTTTTTTCTTCATCGATTACCTTCACCTCGTCCACTTCATGTTGGCCTCCCAAGGTATTATCCGTTATACATAAATTTTGATCAGCACTTCCTTCACTCGACATTCCTTATTTTCCTTACCTTCATAACACATAATTGTAATTTTCATTTGCTGTTCCAAATAAGGAAATGTGAAGCAACAAATTCAAGCAGAAAAACGGTTAATTAAAACAATAAAAGAAATACTATATGATGGACGACAAATAATATTCAATTAACTAAAAAATAAAGAAAATAATTTTCTCAAAAATTTTAACTGTTAACCGAATGTAACACTTATACCAAAAATGCACAAATTTCAACTCAATTACGAGAATAGCAGATAAAAACAGCGAGATATTCTTATTTTGATTATTTTAGTCATCAATTACTTTGCTTACTTCATTTTCTCTTTGATCATTGAATGATCAAAATGTTAAGCAAGCAACAATCCGTTTATTTTTTACTCAATTGCATATAACAAATAATGGATCATAGATCGTATAAAAATCTCAAGTTTTATGTAATTTCAGTTACCAACAAATAATAAGGTTCCAATTAGAAGAACCACTGTCTTGAAAATAGTCTGAAAAAGGATGACTAGCCTAGAAGAGAGGAGCTTATTGGAGAACGTAAACTTATGCCATAAACAGTCTGAATACGAAAAAAATTATCATTTATCGAATGATCAGATGGCAACTCAATTGCCATTATAAAAAGTTCATACCTATATCAGCCAACAATAATCCGAAACTAAACTTCATCATTCGTAAAATTCAAAACTAAACCTTTAATTAACGGTAAATAATTCGATTGGTACACTTATTCTGCAAACATAATTCTTTCATTCTAATAAATAATAGAAAGCTTTGAAACTGAGGATTTGTCTATTCACAGCACACAGAATCAAACAATTCTTTCAAAACCATAAGAAATGTTCAATTCCGTTCATTAAAGCTGACATTGAACAGTTTTCAAAATATAATCACTATAAACGGAAATCTTCATTTAATAACCAATTTATAACCAAATATATATTAAAGATTAGTAAGCAATCACTATGTCATTATGTTACATTTTGAAATGCTCTCTCATTTAAATTCTCGGTTAACAAAAATTTGTATGCGAATATGTATGTCTTTCCGCCAATCTATCAAAAAAGAAACTCTTTCAAAGAATGTTGTAGTGGTTATTATCTAATAGTTATGAATTCCAGTGTAAGAAACCCACTCAGGTTCCATTTTTCTCTTTTTCTCCTGCTCTCTGCTATAAAAGAAAGGAAAACCTGAATGAAACTTCATATTACACCCTAAAATTCATTATTCATGAATCCAGATATTTGATGACAAACCGATTCAGCGACAAAATAAAGTACCGTTACAATGAATAAATGATCGAATAGAAGATTGAAAATGCTGCATTATTATCGGCCCCAAATATGCCTGCTGGCTTTATTTTATCCAAAGATAAAATTATTTACTAAATTATACGTTCACTATGCTTTTGATGCATCGTAAAACATAACTCTTCCCTTACATAAAGCTTCGTAACCCTCAGGTTCAGAACCTTTTTCTTGATATGAACTCCCATCCAACTAATGAAACGACAGGACAATATCTCTTCCAAACAAAGTTTATATCTTATCCATGCTAATCCTCCACCAAAAATTCAAATTAGGCTCATTTGAAACTCATGTACAAAAAACAATCCAACAAGGTGAGAAACAAAAAAACTCGTACGCTTCGGATCAACAACAAACACCTGAATAGATTCGGTACGCCATTTCTCGTCCAGAGGCGAAATATCACTCGGCCAGGATAAAAACGATATCAGTTATTCTTCGTCAGTGGCGGAGGGTAACTGAAACACGTTGAACTTGTGCAGTTCACTTAAAAGGGGAATACGAATTAAAAAAAAATGGGATCAAACGAAATGTTCTATTCTTATGACCATTCATTTATCAGAAATATTTGGATGGTTGTCAAGAGAGATTATGTGTAATAGTTTTTATAAAAGAAGCACTATTTTAATGACGATATCGGACTTACATAATCGTACAGTATAAGACTAATTTTGATCAAATTGTTTTCCAAACTTTTCTTAGCGATGAGCTATATTTTGAGTTATATGAATGATGTTTCTCTCTGATAATTTATGTTTCCTCTGAGGATGTTTAGACGTAACATTCATTACCCTCGATCAATCCTGTATAATTTACCGATTGATTAGTTTGCAGGGTACTGAGTAAAAGATAGATTTGAAATTGTTCTTCACAATAAAATTTGCGACATTGAGCGATTGCTTTCTTCCATTCTTCACATATCATTTCATTCATTTTTCCTTCCCACAGCAGATACAGATAAAAGCGCAAAATTACTAACAAAATTCTGTCTATTCTATTGAAGCATTTGAGAGCGGTTGGCTCTTTAATTTATTACTTTAAATTAAAATAGAGAAAAATAAACGACTACGAAGTTCAGTGAAAAAGATAAACTGACCAGCAAGGTTGGCCTTGGACTAAATCAGGCCTCTACTCTTTTATCTGTATTTTTTCTTCATGGGATCGCATTGCAGATTTCATCTTATTTACCTAAGGATTATTTTATGATTTCAATTAGTCGTTTGAAACGGCGTAAAAATTGATTGAGACAGTTCTGGACTTTCATTTTTTCTTTATTTTGGACGTTTTAGGGTATGAATTTTAAAAAAGAAAATGGAATATTATTGAAATTGTCGAGTGAGGAATCACCAAGTCTTCAGAGAATTAATGCAGATTTATCAAAAGAGGAAGTTGAGAAAGGTTCGAATAAGTGAATAGCCGGAAAATCAAGTGAAAAATTGGGAAGCTAACGGATCGAAAAGTGCTGAAGATTTCCAGGGAAGGTTCTAACAAATCCAGTTATTTTTCGGAATTAACTGGAGAACATGGGAGGGAAAATATTAGGGAAGCTACCGGAAAGATTTCTGGCTCTAGAAACTTTTTAAAAAAGATTTTTGAGTTTAAGAAATGTGCAAAGGAAAATCATAGGAGAAACAGGAAAAATAATGTATGCTATTAGTTCAGGAAGCTCGAGAAGTATGGAAAGATTAGGAGATGAATCAGCAGATTATGATAAAAAGGTACATTTTGATCAAATATAATTATTGATAGCCTATTGTCAGCCCTTTTACTTTAAGTTGAAATCCAAAGTAACGACAAAGGTGACTCGAAGTACAGATCAAATTTTCTTTTTTCAGAAAGAGCAAACGGTAGACGAAGTTTTTGGGAAGAAGGCACCAAAACGAAAATCGGTGGAGCTTTTTTGAACATTTGCTCTGTTACTGTTTGTTTTAGGCTCGATATCCCTATATCACATTATATTTTTACCTGATTTCTGATGGAGATAATGAGGAGAGAAGAAGAGAATTTCATTTTAAAGTATTTCAATGAATTCTTTAAACAAAACAAGATGAAAAATATGATTTCAATCAAAAACTGCAATTGAATCTCAAACTTTAACATTATGCATCGTTAAATAATGATGTAAATAGAATGTAGCAAAGAACTGATGTAAATCAATTCAAATTAATTTAACTAGAAGAAGAGAAACGAAGTTAAAGAGAGGGTAAAGCAGGGATTCAGATGATAGTACAGAATAGTTGTTAACCGGAAATGGATGGTCTGCTGTGAACAACTTCATTAATTTGCAAAAAAAATGGATCAGTTTCTTTCAGAGACCCTACTATTACAATGATTTGTTGGATGGGATTCCAGAGAGTCTTCAAAGTATCGAAGAGGATTTGCCACAAACCAGAAAAGAAAGCTCTGTTAGTTCCCTTTCTTCTAAATTTCGACTGTTTCAAAATGTCAGCAGTGATGTTAAATTCTGTTTCGCACATAGAACTTATTCTAAGGCTAAGTTGAATAAACACTCCAAATACACTGATATTTATTGGTCTCCAAAGAGCCAAAATTAGTAAGTGCTAAGAATTTGTATGATGAATCATATGTTTCTATCCTACACATATTATCACTTATAAATATATCAAGCCAGTTTTAAGACTCTTTTTCTGGATATATTAAAAGAAAATATATCATCCTTAGAGACCAAATCTCTGCAATCAGGCATATTCGGAAAGTCTAAAAGAGAAGAAACTGATGATGCCAATAACGAAAAGAACACCGGTTTGCTTATATTGACCTTATATTGATCTTCTTTGTATTCACCTTTTATTCTAGAAGTTTCAAGGAATCATAGAATTTCAATGTTTTAATGGTCATTTTCAGCATCACTTATATTTCCCGAAAAAAGCTCTCACATAGCATTTAAACGAGAATAAAGCGATATAAAACTTATTCTAGCGTCCTTTCTGTTACGACGAATTTTTGGATGGTGTGACGGAAAGTCTTATAAGCTTAGCCGAACTGAAAGCTAATGAAATAAAGGTGACTGCGACGAGCGATTCTGAATGCCCATTGACAAAACTGCCATCTCACATGCAGAAAGTATCCAACGATCATGGAGTCAAGAAAGCAGAAAATATTGCTGAAAACGAATCGGAGGTAATGCTTTATCAAAAAAAGGGCGAATTAAGATGTTAGATTAGATCCGATGACAGAACATAAAAATCAATATATATCAGGGCAACGCTTGGTCACTTACATTTGACATATTGCATGTTAGGTGGAAATCGAGAGAGCGATCGTGAAAAAAAATAGTGTTAATTTTATGATTAGGATTCAAATAACTGGAATGATACTGGAATAACCTGATCCATAATTTTCTCTTTTTGGTACTCAGCGATAGATTTCGACTCATCGATTAACAATATTCAAATAATAGGATTGGTTATTATCAGAGCAATAATTGTTGCAAGAGAAAAAAATTCGCAATATGTATGAATGTCGCGAAAATTTTTAAAATAATTTTAGAAATCTGCCTGTTGGTAAACAACTGTGGCAGATTGTGATAAATTTACATATTTCAATTTGAAATTGTTTAAATTCAATAAAGGAAATCATTTTAGGAGAGCGGAATAAACATGGTTCAAGGAATGCAGATAAAAGTGTCCAGTAAGTTTGATTTGTTCATCTATCTTTTCTTTTTCTTTTCTGAATGAAATAATTTTATTTTAGGCTTTTCCGCTCGATGCAGGCAACCGTTTTCATTTCTTTCACTTACTCAGAAACGAAACGAAAAGTGTCTTTTTTTCAGAGAACAATGACTTTTACTTTTCTCATCTTTGACAACACCGTCACTAACTAGTTAGCTTTACTAAATCATTAGAAACAAAATATTTTATTGAATTTATTTCGTTGATTCTTCAGCCATTGCTTACATGAATCCTTGGATTTCTTGTTATTTAAAAATTTATAACAAAATTAACATTGAAAAATTCATTTAACTTCCAACTATTCTCCTAAAACATTAAATAGAACAAAAAGAAGAAAAAATAATGGTAAGTTGTATGCATCGTCGAAACTTCATCGTTGTAGATGGAAATATTTGGGAGAATGCATTAAGCGCTCAGAAACTTGTGTGTGGTGAAAATGTGATGGATTTCACATCCAACTATATTTTTTCCAAGAAAAGTCTGGAAAGGGCGATGAAACTAGAACATAAATTTTTATGGAAACAACAACAACACATCTCCGATTTTTGCCAAAGTGAAGCAGTGGTTAGGTGACATTTTTCCTGTTACACTTACCCACAGTTGACTAAGCATGCGACATCATTCAGATTTCATTTGCGATTGGTTTTCCGGAAATAATCCAATAAGTTATTAAATATCGTGCATCGTCAGATCATATTAAATCATATTATGTAACATGTAGTCTGATGATGGGAACATTTCTTGAAATCTTCATGCTAACTTAAAAGAAGTGAATAGAATTGCAAAATTAAAACGATCTATCCATTTTTATTTAACAGTATTTGGCAAATGTATAAAAAAGGTACTAATGTATCTCTAATATATGTGACAGCTAAGTGTTATAATTAATTCAGTATGTGACGTATGAATTTATTAGTTAGCTTATTCATTTGAGGATAAAGGAAAGAATCGGTCGCCGAATGTAGTAAACTTTAATGAAGGTGCTGTACGTCTGCTTCCAACAATAATGAATGACTCTCGATATATCCATGCGTCGCAAATTAACATCTCCTACGGCAATTTTATCATCACGCAGGTAGCTTTTATTGAAGAAGTGCAATTATCATTGTTCTTACTTAACTTTTTTTTCATTTTTAATGAAAGCTTTCCTCTGATCGTGAAATTTGAACAAAAATTATAATAACTGATTTGAATAAGATCAATTTGACGGAAATTTAAAGCAAAATCAGCTTGCGAATGGCAACGAGAAGCACCGAATTAGTAACAGTTTGATTAAAAATGAATATGGTATGCAGTGTCGAAGGTTATTTTGAAAACAAGGAGAAATGATCAATTCTTCCATTAGCCATCTTTTCCTTAACTTCATCTTTCTTGTCGCTGCTTTATCCTTTTCTCTTTAAAAATTACTACCTTAAGATAATTAATTTCATCTGGAAAAAAAATTTCATCTGGAATTAGAGATTAGGCGTAACTAAAAATTTTCCCGTCCAAACTTTATTGACTTATCATGAACAAGCCATTTGACTTGGTAAAAGTTGCAATTCTTAAACTTCGCTGATTCATCAAAGCAAAAAATCTTCACAACACTGATATGTACTATTCTCACATTTTGTCTCATAACTCTTCAAATGAAATGGTTTTGAGGGTCCAACGAAACAATCGCTGATCGATTTCTTCCGGATGCTGTGGCAGTGTCACGTATTATTAGTGATTTGTCTCGAACCACTTACCGATCAAAGGACTTGCTATCCATATTTCAGCTTTAAAAAACAACAAGTAGTTAAGGTCATCAACGACGATACAATGTATTCATTTTTTTTTTACCAACCAGCTAAATAAATACGTTCAGTTTCATCATAATGTGAACAGTTGAAATTCAGGCGAGGGAAAGGATTTCTCTAGAGACCCGAGAAGTTATTGAGACGCCAGTGGCAAATTTATTTGTGTACGAAGCTATACTTACGAACATGGAAATCAAAGATGGCGGTAAGTAATAAGATTCCCTATCAAAACGGTGATTCCGGTTTACCTCCCAGAAAGCTATTCATCATCTAGCCGTTCCATTCTCTAAAATTACCCGACACTCTACAGGTCAGTTTCGACCTTATACGAAAATTCAGGAAGGAATAGTACCTTTAATATAGGCAATTTTGGAAATCCGGAATGAGTTGGAACATAAATCACTTCTATGATAGGCTGCCCGTAATTAGTGCAGTTTCTACTGCAATCTTCTGAGAGTTATCGAGAATTTATTTCTTTACTCATTCCTTCGTGTGTAACGAAAGTGATGTAGCGAAAAAATTTAGTCTTCCGCATGTTTTTTATATGTAGCAAATAAACGACGCATTCACATTATGCGATATGATAAATGGACGCATGAAAAAGCGATATCACCAGTGCTACTGATTAAAATGATTACTGTAATGGAAGCAATGGATGAAAAAAAAAAGAAACCAATCGTTGTTCACGGTACCCATGGCATACGAAGAACTGCTGTTTTCGTAATCACCTCGTTGCTCATGAAACAAGTATGATCGAATGCACTTATCACTTATTTCATAGATAGGTAGCATTCAATTCAAATTCACGTTGTTTATCCAAGTTCTGCCTCTACTTTCCCCTGTTCAGATTTCAGAGACCCATCATATGTCAATATTGAAAGCAGCTATAGCGGTACGTAGACGGCGTTATGGTGTTCTGCGATTTTTGGAGGACTATCGTTTAATACTACAGTCTGCTTTATGTTACGCAAAACAGTGTGATCTGATTAAAAATGAAAAAATATTTATGGATGCTATAGATGTAGGTGAATTGTTACGTGTCAACCTTTGACCTGATGAGCCTTTACTTGATTTTCGTTCATCATAAATCCCCACCAACTCTGTTATAACTGCATATCTTAGACAACAAAAAGATATAAGAGAAAAGAGAGGAATAAGTTAAAAAGACTTATATCATTGCTGCCATAGTCAGCATATTTTACATAGCAGTTAAAAATCAACTGAAATTCGTGAAAAAATTGAAGTTTTGGTGGTTGTTGCAGGTTTTGGAAGGTAAAGATCGTCATATGTGATATAACATATTGGATGCAATCTGTTGGCACAAAATCAAATTAACACTGCTTATCGCACGCATATTGGATTTCTTCAATTAATTTCTCCGAAAAATTTGTCTTTTACTATGCAAATGATAATCATATCTCGTGTTTATATCACCACAAATCATTTCAATATTAAAGAAGAATTTGGCTAAATTCTTCTACGAAATCCAAGTTGATAAGCACGATGCCCTCTAATAGATCTATCGAAGCTGTTTGTTCAATTGCATAGTTATCGATAATAGGTAGTTCACAGAAATGAAAGAAGTAAGAATGAAACGAAAGCTAAAAAAATATTGTGAAGCCGACATAAAGTTTCAGTGAACTGTCGGTAGCCTTAGTTTCGACACCGTGGAAAAATTTTGGTTTCAGTTTCAAATTTTTCAGGAACGAAGGTTGCATTAGTAATATTCATTGGAAGGAAAGGGTCAGGTTAATAAACAGTATCATAATGTTTTGTTTTCGACTAAGCCCAAATTCCAAATAACTATTTGAAGGATAACAGTTTTTTGACTGTAAGAAAGCATTTTCTTGCTTTTGAATCTATCACAAAATGAATGAATTGTTGATTTCAGTATAGCAATTCTGAAACAAAATAATTTTCTTCTAGAAATTTTAACCGTTGAAAACATAAATACTAACAACTTTGGTCATCAGTTGGCTGATAAAGTTTAATATCAAGTCGGTTATTTTTTTGAATGTTGGGGCATTTAAATGTTGGAGAATGGCCTGCTGATCCCAGTTCAAATAACGTCGTTAGTAATGAAAGTCGTAACATTTTATTAATTTTTAAAAAGCAGCAATTCAGAAAATTTAAAATTCTAAATTAAAATTTTTTGTTTTATTCAAAAAAATTTGGACATAGAGATAAATGAATTTTATCATTTTAAGCTTTTTTCCTTATCCCACAAATATTACATGTATTTGTAATTCGCAAACACTTCCAACCATTAGATTCCAACCATCACAGGGACGATTTACGATTAGTGCTATTAATAAATGATTTGCTATAGGACATTCAAAAAGTGAAGTACTTAATCCGCCAAGTGTTGATACAGTCAGAGAGGAAAAGCACCAGTGAAATGATCAGATCATGTGTCACTTATGTGATACTTCACTTTCATTATTCCAAATGAACGCTGGTCTGCTTCTGATATTGCCAAAATTCTTTTATCCTTTTATCCAGCATTAGTGACCCGAACAAGCTATAGACTTGCTTTTTGCTTTTAACTACTTGTTTTCTCTTCAACTTACTATTTGATTATTTAAGATCATCGGGAAGGATGCATTACTCCGCTTGAAAACTGTGATTTTTTAGAAAAAGGTATTGATAGCTGTCCTAACCATGAAAAAATGGAACCAATTGAAAATTTTTAAAAAAAATGCTGACTTTATGGTTAGTGATAGGCAATATCTCTGACAAATATTTGAATTCGTCATCTTACCAGTGAATATATTCTTCGACTTTGTCAATGAGTTATATAAGCAATAATAATAGTAAATGATCCTTAGAAAAAAAATCCCAGAACAATTGATATCTTTAAAAATAATCGCTTTAGGCCAGTTCTCCATGCCTTCATATTGCAAACTTCGAAATATAATTGGTAGACTCCGCATCTTTTGCTTTCAAAAACACTCTAAACTTAAGACTAAGGCTAATCGTTAAGTAAAAAAGTTATTTCCCATCTACCTTCTTCATTAGTACTGTCAACTGACAACGATCAAAAAGTGATGGAATTGAAATGCTATGTAAATTTCGAATTTCAATATCTGCAATATACTTTTAAGATTTTTTGTAATATAGTTAATTATTTATCACATAATTACGCAATACTCATGCAATGCTTCACCAATATCAGATAAGATTATGAAATTCGTTATTCTTATTAATCCTTGGAAACATACTTAAGCTAAATGAAACCTTTTAAAACCAAAATGATTACTATTACTTTCATCTTATTACCTTAGTGTAGTATCTAACTATTTTAAATGGTAAAAAGTTGAACTAAAAAAGTTGAAACTTCAATCTCAGGTATTTTGGATGTTATCTATTGATTAATTTGATTGATTAATTTTGCTATTAAGTAAGAAATAAATCCTAGTCTGTTTGAAGTTCAAATATAAACTGAGCGTGGCCAATTAGAAGAAAACCTTACAGCCATTTAACTAATTATGGACGGCAACAACTCCTTCATTTTAGCTAATAAATATTATTCATATCGTATATAGAAAATATGATGTTAATTTAATCTGAATTTTTTCTCAACTGAACGATTTCGTATTTATTTTTAGTCTTCGGCTCATGCAAAGCTCTCATAATTTAGCAATGATAGAGAAATTATTGAAGATTTTACAGTTTAATATTCACTAAACCGAGCTGAAAGAAGGCCCAAAAATAGTTGTTCAAAAGAATGGCTGTTCAACATAAATTTGATCAGTGATAAATTTGTCTGGTCCGGTAGAAATCTCTTACTATTCTGAAAATATGAATAATAATAAAGTGACCACCTAGGACTAAAAGGGCTTCAAAATAGAATTGTAATATGTGCTAGAACAATGATGAAGGATGAGATATAACCTTATAGAAAATCTAATTCATTTCAATTTGTAACATAATTCAAAACATTTTAAATAATATTTCAGAAGTGTGGAGCTCTCGAAATTGTTATAATTCAACTTGATCATGTGTATTTTTGCGGAGCTATTAATCAGCTGGTTTGAATAGGGCCATTTTTACAAGAAATTCAGTAGCCATCACTACTTTCACGACATCCTGCCTTTGATTTTCTATTCCTTCTGAAGGGAATCAATGTTGCTATCAAATATCACAGCAAAGGATTGCTCATCGAAAGTTTTACTTTCTTAACTTCTATTTATTCATAATTTCGAAAACAAATATTAACGAATAGGTCATTCACAGTTATACAAAAACTTTTTGCGAACTCTCCGTAATCGCTATAATGTTCCACTTTACATTTTAACCCTCTATCAGGTATAGCCCTTTAATTAATTACCTGTGGAATTTTTTTCCTTTGCTTGGTAAAACCTTTTCGAATTTGAATTCATCTTCAAATTTGCAAAAAAGGCTTCATTTACTGAACTATTTGTGTAGGGGAAAAGTTTCTAGTTATAAGTGTTTTGAAACGGCACGAAAAAACTTATGGAAATGTGCCATATTGGCAACAATCACTGCATATGATATGAGGGAGTAAAGCGTATATGAACGAATAATAGTAGGATATAGTGCATTTCTATAATTTAAAATTAAAAACAATGAAATAAATAATTACTACCGTTAAAATTCGAATACATTTCTTCAAGGAATTCAACAACAATGATAACGAGTGACCGGAAAAAATTTTGAAATCCCTAGCATTTGCATCGATCCTCTCAACTTAATAGAAAGATGATGGTCAATTCTTCAGCAACAGATTGGTTCTCTTTGGACAATGAAGAAAAGTTAAATTCAAGCCATCTTCAGAAATTTCAACTTCAGCTTATATGCATAAAGATCCTATACTATACTGGTTTTTTAATTTCATTCTCTCGCCTTCGCTTTTACAAGAAATAATAAATGCAGTGATGAAAAGGAATCGTAATATTTAAAGAAAAAAACAACATGTAGAACATTCCCATAATAATTGTTTATCATCCATTAACAACATCACAGATATACTTACAATGCTTGTTAAAAGAAAAGTCATTGCAATGAAAGAATTATGTGATAAAACAGGGAAGAGCTCTAAAGACTGTCCTCCACTAGCACTGCACAGAGATTAAGGAAATGTTTTTATGCCTTATAGATCTGAATTACAGATATAAATTTTTCACCTTGACTATACAGTGAACTGTAAATAGATATACCTATTCCTCGAGTGAAAATTTCATCCAAGATTTGCAATTTGTTTTGGCGTAACGATTATCCTCTCAAGAAACTACCGACAAATTATGCCTACGCACAAAATATAACAGATAATTGAAAAATATGAGTATTAGAACGATGACAATATTACGAATCAAACAATAATTTAGAAAACCAATCTTTAATGTTAGAAATTGACAGAAATCCAGGAAAATTTTCCATACATTTTGATAGTGGACGTATCACACATTAAATCTTAAAATATTTGCACTTCACTAAGGAAACAAAGAGAGGTTAATAACACATCTAAAATGCCAATCTAATCGGGTAGTAAGAGACTAAGCTAAGTACAAATAACAATAAATTCCCATACAATCCCAAGAATAAGATGTACAAATAAAAAAAAGTCATTGGTAGTCACTATGAATATTCAACCACATTTTGCAACGTACTCGAAGGATCCTCTAATTCATCCTACACCATTCTCCACTACCTTTTGTTCTTCCTTCAGCGCCGGCTGAAAAATTGATGACTTAATTTGATGGTAATAGAAGTAATTATCACCGTCACGGCAATGCTTATGACCACGACCATTGGTTCCCAGATGATTAAAAGAATTTTTGAAATATGACAATAAAAACGGGAATAATGCGAGTGGCATTTATACCTCAGCAAGTAGAGATGATACTTCAGCAACGGATCGCAAAGATGAAGATACCGGAGGCGAAAATGCACTGTTTGGCGACGGGACCAAAGATCCACCAATAGTATTCATTGCTGGGATCGTGACCGAAGTCAGTTTATATGAGATTTGTGATGACTGTGAGTCAACAAATGAGGGTTGTTGTAACTGCTGCTGAGCATACAATAAATGAGGTGGTGCTACCTGAACGGAAAGGATATTTTATTATAAAAATAGTATAAAGTATAAAAATGAGGATGGCCAAGATAAAGCTAGTATAAAAATGATGGCCAAAATAAAGCTAGTTTTGCATAGATAGTTTAGGAAAAATTTCGATTTCAATCCTCTGGCTCCTCTACAATTTTTCCTGACTTTAAATAACTTAATAAACCATCAAAAATAATTTCCACAGAAAGTATGGCTCTAGAAGAGACGGACCCGAAATGTTTCCGACGATGACGTAGCAAACTGCGTCTCATCACTCACGTTCGTAAGCCCTTTAGTATCGCGAAGATAATTTTTGCTATATATTTGTGCAGTTCGGGCACATGAGAATTGCTGACTAGACAGTTGTTCACATGCTGTCCCACCTCGACTACAGATATCAGGTTCTGCATTTGGATGTAGCGTTAAGGGTTGAGCATTTGCTTCAGGAATAACAAAATGTGATTGCGTGGGCGGAGAAGTACTATAGGAATGAACGATTACCTCTTCCTACAAGTAATTCGTAATTACAAGCAGAAGACGAGTGTTTACTTTTCGTAAACAAAATTTTAAAATAAAACACTCTCATTAGTACGGTATATATTGTTTTATACCACATAACATTAGAGATGATGTACAGATGCAGCTTTAAACTTCGACAACATTGCTGTATTACAAGAAATTAAATTGTCCTTACCAATTCTGGGATCGGAATCTCCAATGCAACCTTTGATAAATCGGTACACTTTGAATTTCCGCTGCTATGGGCAATATCATCAGGTTCTATCTGATTAGGATTTGGAGATTGTGATTGCGTGGTTAAATCAACTGGTGGGGCAATCAATACTTGTCTATCAATACTGAATTGCTGAGGAAGTATCGATGCTGCTTCTCCAGACTCAAAGTTAATAATTTCGGAGCTTTTGTTTTGAAGAAGTAACTCTGGTGTCTCGTGTAACTTCTTGTCAGATAAATCCAGTCTGAAATTCGTAATAATTTCTTTACATGCATAAAACAGCGGTAGAACTTCAGTAAGATTTTGAACTGAGAATAACAACAGTACCTTTTTGGAGGGCCAGGCATCACTTCGGCCAACAATTCTGGCAAGAATGCACCAATGCGCGTAACAGTCATATCGTACAAGTCAGGCATAGTATTGAACATTTCAGTATTATCCATGACGAGAATCATGTTCTTCAACGATTCCGGAATTGCTTCTGATAAAAGCTCACTACGATCCGCATGAAGATACTGATCCATATAATCCAGTAAGCGTAACCACAGGGGTCGAAATGATGACAACAAACTCAAAGGACTGAAAAATTTTTTAATCTCCACACATTAAGACCTGATAACACTGAAGGAATGATGAGAAAACCTGACGAGATAAAAAGAAATATCATAGTAATTTTAAGCAATAATGAAAATTTCTGCAACTCTAACTCTACCTTGACTTTGAATCAGATTACTGAGAAAGATTCTGATATATATTTCATAAAAAATGATGCTTACAATTTCCAAATCCGAAAAGATACGAAAAATTTTAATTAAATTTCAAGATAAAATACTTAAACCAACGTTAGATGATTTAGCAGAATTTTCGAAATTAGCTGCATAACTCGTACTCGTGTCTCCTCCATTCCAATTGGATCCATTGGTGATAAATTTTCCAGCAGTTTTTGCAGCAGAGGAAAAAGTATCTCGCCAAAGCACTCTTCCCATTGTCTGCCTTTCATCGCTTGCATTTCCGGTATTAGAAAGGCTCGCTATAAAAACTTGGAGGCAAATTAGTGCTCAAAATTTGTAAATAGTTAAAATATGGGGAGAACTCACCACGAGAAAATTAAGTGCTTGTGTTCTTACTTGTCGCCTACAGTCACAGCAAAGACGAGCCATACACTGCAAAAGTGGCCGCCAACAATGATTCCACAGAGCTGGTAAACTCGCATCAATCTGAAATGTAAATGCATGAATTAAACAGCAGCACTTTATTTAGTACATGAGTTGAATCATTAAAATGATTCAATAAACAGGCATTAAACCAATATTGGATATAAAAAAGCAAATATAGCTCACTTTAGCTCCACCATCAGCCCAACTGCGATATATTGAAGCACCTTTCACATGTAATGTATGACACAAGTCAAGTATCAGAAAAGCAACCTGTAAAAAAATGCGATATATCAGGTGTGTTATGAAAATGACAAAAAGGAAGACTAATATTATTAATTTTATTCTTAAAAAAAGAACTAAAAAGAACTATTTTATTCTTAAAAAAAGAACAAAAAGGGTATAAGGATAAGAAAGATCAAGTTTTTGTCAGACTGAAAATTATTTGCGGGAAAACTGAAAACTAAAACCTGCTGATAACTTGCTGACAGCTTCTGCGGTTCAGCTTGAGGTAACATTTCTTCTTCATCGTAGTTACTTCCGGCTTTCAGAGACATGTGTCTATGGTTACTTCTATCTGCAAGGTCAATTCCAATTTTCAAATTTTCATCGACCCGCTAAACGAAGAACTGCTAAATTTCCATCAAAGTTAACCATTTGCTCATAACATTATGGACTGTTCCTACAGTGTTTGATAAATCAGTCACCTTGTTTAGTATTATACTTTGATTTTTCGTCCTTTAAAACACTTCGTAAATGACTTTGAGCATCACCACTGAGCGGACCAGCAGCGTATCTGCAGCATTCGAAATCTGTTTGGAACCTTCGACTATAAAACCATCTCAAACAAATAAACAACTTTTCGTGACTTAATCTACCAGGCTGGACATGAAAAAATTAGAAATGGAACATATGCATACCTTCCACCATCCAGACTAGCTTCAGTACATGATCGCAGACATTCTATACACGAATCAAAGTTTTCTGGAGTGATGTGAGCTGCATCTCGTGCCAGAAATGCTAGTGTTTCCCCCACTTTAAGGAACGCTAAAGGATCGTGTCTAAAATAAATTCTCTTCCAAATTAAAACAAAGCATTGTAAAGTCAACACTTGAAATATTTCTTTTGTAACACTTGAAATATTACTGAAACAATGCAAAATTTTGGAAGATTACCTGATGAGATTAATACGTAGTACAACAGTACCGCGATCGAAAACACTCGAATACTGATGCTGCTTTCCAGTTGGCCTAAGCTTAAGCTGCTGCTGCTGCGCAGCAAGTATTGCTGAAACGAATTCACTCCGAAATTTCTGTTATCTCTCACGCGAAAAGGTATCCAAATTTTCTTAACAAAATAATGAATCTTCGAACAAAGATAAGAAAAAAGAAACAGAGCGGAAACTAATTTTCTCTTCAAGTAAATAAAACAACAGTTAAGTAATAGAAACTATTCTATGGAAAAACACACTGCGTTCCCTAATTAATAATGACAACCCTTTTCGTCTCTTTCTCTTCTTCATCATTTTTCTTCTAAACAGACTTCACACGCACGTATTGATTAAAAACGAATTATTAACTTATAATTAAAAGTAACCATCTTTGTGATCAACATGTATCCATTCAGTGCTTGCCTCCTTTAACGAAGATGCACTATCAATATGCTCCGAAAGAATAGAAACGGATGACACTGATCCTGCAAAACACCACTCGGTAAATTTCACAAAAGTATTTTTGCATATGAACTTCTAGTTTATAAGCAAAACTTATGATGCAAAACAAAACATAAAAATGAATGGTAAATGTTAAGCAAAAATATAAGAGAAGTGCAGTACACACCTTGAACTACATCAGATGTATAGCCTCTGTCAACAGAGACAATTTCACCATCAATTCGAGGACGATTTAGACTTGGTTCTGTATCACTATGCACTTGTCGATTCACAATTTTTGATTTGCTTTGAGATAAAGCAGGCTGGAATTCCGAAGAACTTAAATTTGTAGAAAGTTGTTAATCTTCCACCCTAAATTATGTGGTGGAGGTAATTCATCAAATCCGCAGCAAATAAATTTGCGCGTTACAAGTTTATGTATGAGAAACTAAACTTATCAATAACAGCTCAGCACGATTAGTACTTACAGCATCAAGCTGTGTATTGAAATCTTCCGGATGGACACCTGCTCCTGCAGCTTCCATTAATCCAAAAAGAATTGCCCAGTGTTCACGCCGGTGCACATTTGCAGCATTTGTGCGCAGTAATTCATGTAAGCCATACGCAATTTGCCGAGAAAACATGAACATAGCTGGAGGTGGTAGGTTCTGGAATAAAAATGATTACTAATTATACACCACATATACTGACCTTCAATACTAAGTTGACAAGCTCGGATAGCAACTTCGAGATTATGCCATAATAAAGACAAACCAGCAGAATCCCTAAAGACTGAAGCACTTCATCAGCAATATCATCTTTAAGATGGTACAAATTCCTGTTCGCAATCCTTAACAAGCCAACGACAGCCCTCTCCACAATCAACGGATTCCGACCAAAATTACTCATAAGCCACTGCAAATGTTGCTTGATTGGTGTCCATATTTGAAACAAGCGGTCTTTATTTTCCAGTGCTATGCTAACCATCATTTCCAGGTAAAGTACAAGTGCATCTTCTTCCTGAAAAGAATGTTTTGATAACTCATATATAGAAATAAGACTAAGTAATGTAGTAAAACGAAGCTTAAAGATATATTCATGATCTTCTGATTAGATAAAAAAAATTAAGAATATTCCGAACTGAGTGACTCAAACCAATAGCAAACTATAATGGCTCAACGCTTGCAAAGTTCGTGGGAATATAATTAAAACTAGAAAATTTGAGAAACAGAAGTAGCGGTTAAGAAACAAAAAACATTCTAACTTGTTCCTTCAACTTCCTTGCTACAGGTTCACCTTTGTCCATTTCAGTGTGAGCAACATTTGTAGACATTTGAATAATTGTACTGATGAGTTCAGAAAGTGCGGATGAAGTGAGATATTTTCCATCAACAATGAGCTGTTCCGGATGACATTCAGCTATTACTTCTTGAGCCATCTGCATGATACATAACTTTTGTTTGAATAATTTCCAACCTAACTTTTGATTTTATAATTCAGGACCCGAAATTTCTAAATATTTGAAATAATTTAAAACTTGAGAAAAGAAGTAAGTCTAGATATGGAACTTACTTTGATAAGTTGCTGCTGATCGGCAGTTGGCGCAGATTCCTTGTTGTCATAGTTCGAGCTAAGTCCAAGCCAGCTAAGTAAACCAGACTCGTTTCGGTTTGTTGATAACTTTCTGCAAAATTGGACTGAGAAATAGAACAAATTGGCTTCAACTATATTTATGATTTAGATAAGAGAACTTACGGCGGTGGTGTTCGCTGTATCGAAACCCATCCTTTACTGTCTACAAAATCCTCCACTTCTGTTATTGCAGTGGGTAACAAACGGGCATAAAACAAGCGCAAAATACTATCGAGCACATTTTTCCAGCCCTATAATTCAACAAGGATCAATTATCGAATGTTTCCGTTACAGCAAATGATGAAAGTTCAAAACCACGCATAAAATGAACTAGATCGCACCTCACGAAGAATATCACCATGAGCTTGAACCAGTTGGAACATGGCTCTTGCGGCCATTTGTGCTTTTGTATTTTCACCGAAGGCAATTGCAATCTGTTCTGCACTTTGATCAGAATTTTCACTCAAAACCCCATTTTGTCGGATTTGCAAATTCTGCTCTGTATTACCTACAAATTGCAATAATAAACAAAATGCTATTGCATGAAGAACTCCCTAATCCTCCAATTTCTTTTTTCTTCAAGTCCTTTAACTAATTTTTTTTCTAAACCGAAGAAGCGACATTTTTGTTTTACCTTCACTTGTGGACATCAGTGTAGAAAATTTGCACAAATGAATAATTAAATTATCGAAAACATCACTCATTCCATAATGTGCAGCTATGGATGCACATTTGCGATACCCATTCAGCACTTTCTGAAATGTGTTGAATGACTTCCTCGAGTCTTCGGCGCAAATAACAGAAAAAAAACTATTAATTATGAGACCATTAATTTCTTATACCTGTAAAATACCCTCTCTTCCACTTTTATCAAATACAAATGATAATGCCGCAGAAGCGGGACCCCAAGTAATACTAAACAAATCATGGTCATTCCATCCTGCCGGTACATGGATGAATTCACCTTCTTTCGTTTCTCCACGTCGTAATAAAACCTAAAAAATTTAACCCATATAAAAATTTGAAATGCTGCTTCCTCTTCCCTACCATCATCACCATCATCATTTCTAACCATATTGCAACATTACCTCAATGCCAACTTGCACTAAAACATATCTTCCTTAAATTTTTCCGAACTTAATATTTTTCCGTTCTAAGCATTAAAAATAATTTATATAACTTTTCAAATCCGCTCCAATTTTATCATCCTTTAATAATTCCAACTCCATTACCCTATCAACTACAAAAATTTTTAATTCAAATTCATTTACTGTCTTATAAATTACAAAAATTTACCTTCCACAAGTAATTTTCTTTTACAATTCCAACTTGCTCAGCAGGCATCACAATTTCGTCATTTCTGAAAAAGCTTTCAAAATAGATACCGTTCACCATTGTCAAATGAAATCATATTTTACATTCTGCAGTAGATCCGATCTTTTTTCCGTTCAAACGATTAATTCAAGTATTTTCACCACATGCCTGATAGCATTGTACATTTCATCCAACATTGCCGGGTCGAAATCTTGGCCACCGTTGGTACCTGATAAATTTCGCTTGAAACATTCTGCTTGCATCGGCCGCTGATTTCTTCGTACCTAAAACAATATTTCACTTTATGTACAGATTAGATAGTTTTGTATAGCTCTAAATATATTACAACGGATAATTTTAAAAACTTATATGGAAATCACCTTACTTTCTCCTGCTTTTTTAAAATAAATTTCAAAATAAAAGCAATGTAAAAAAACCTGTGGGTTGTGTTGGTCAGTGTTGAGCATAATAACAGCATAAGCTAACGTGAACGCTGCATCAACGTGGTTGAAGGGTTCACCGTTTGCAATGTACCAGTGGTCTGAATATTCAAAACAGGTGAAAACATAGAAGCAATAGTAGAAAGAGGATAAAAACTAGTCTTAGCAATAAAAAAAAAATCCTATGCTAAGTGGGAATCCTATGCTAAAAAATTCAATGCTAAGTGGGAATTTTAATGAAAAAAGAAGATATTGAAAAAACAATGATTTAATAAAAGTAATCCAAATATAACTGAAGATTTTATCATTTCTAGTTTGGAATTACCTATTGCTCCATATACTTTAATCAGAAAAATCAAAATTCAAATTAATTTTATAAAACTTTGTGTTTACATAAATACAATTTCTAACAAATTTAATAAAGCTTTACTTTATTCATCTGCTCTGGAATTTTATGAAGCCACATATTTATATGTGAAAAATTTGCTCGAAGTTGTTCAAAATTTTCTTAAAAAAGAGGAAATCCATTTTTCATGAAAACTGACAGATAAATCATTCAAGTTTTAATTAGCATTTGTGCTTTCAGTAAACATCTAGCATCATATTACTGCACTAACCTGCAAAATGCTGCATTACCATCGAGATTTCTGCAGCTTCCCCAGGCAATCGAAATGTTTCCAAAAACATACGTAAAGCGTCATCCAGACGAGTATTTTCAAATGGAAATGACCGAACAAACGCATCCAATACGGCGGCGTTTTTTCGGCTGCAGTTTACAGCAGTAAGCACAAAGTTTTAAAAGTTTTACATGTGTTCATTATAGGAAGTTAAAAAAGCAATGGAAACTTTATTATACTAAACTTCCTGCTCTCTTCTACCTAATCTTTCCTATTCATTATTCGCCAAAACACTCAATAATTCACTGATAATCCAACAGAAACTTCCATAAAGATATGGTGATTCGTTTGATGGATACTACCAACGAACCGACTTAATGCTCTGACTTACGAGCATACTAAACTTCAGTATCTGTGGTCATAACAAATTAAAAATATAAAAACTGTATTAAACTTGAAATATAATAAACCTGCAAATGTAATCGGCAATCCGCTTTTTGTCAAGGTGTGGGTTCTCTCTTAACCACGCCACGACATCCACAGGATCTAGCGGCGATTTTAAGATTTTCTTCTCTTTAAGGAATTCAATTCCTACAAAAATTCTCAGTTATACATTTTCCGACTGTTTGACTTCAATCACCATTTTAAAGTTAATTTTTTGATTACGCTTAGAACCTTTCTTCGGATCCTGATTGAAAAGTTCCGTCGCTTCCGTAATAATTCGTTTTTTCTTTTTTCTTTCGATAACTTCTATAATTGATGGAAGTGTGGACGACGGAGCCATCCGATTTGCGTGTAATGCAGTAGAAGGTAAAAATGTTTCAAGAAGTGCTGTTCTTCCCGCCGTAGTAACTGCTTTAAAAAGTTGGAGTATTATGAAGGGTTAATTGTTAAAAACAAATTCTAAAAATAAAATCTTCCATAGTAAGATTTCAATAATACCGATTAGCTCAGTTTTAATCTTTGCTATCAATCTTACATCACGCCAAAACCATTTACTCAACCTAAAACTTGGCTTATTACAACTGAATCAACATATGTAACTTTGAAGATGCTTAAAGTGATCATCATCACGCGCCTAAATTAAAAAAGCATAAATTTATCAGGCAAATTCTTTTGACTTCATCAATCTTTGACATATGAACACCATTTTGATGCTTGCTTAAACAACTTACATAAAGTTTCATCGATCGCACTCTGTCTTCCAAAAGCATATCCACTGATAGCTGGCAAGTGTAGTTGGGCCGGTACCAAACTAAAAATCCCATAAATTAACGTGTAATAACCAAAAAATTTTTAAAAATAATATATACCAGACAAAGTCAATAATTTCCTAATTTGTCTAATAAATGAACCTACGTTGGAACAGCCATTTTCTGATGAACACTACCAGCCTGCCTATACACACAGTTATTATCAATCGTATCAATTACAGTCAGCAAACCATCAAGCGATAGTAAATTGATAGAACGTAGGCCCAGAACAGGAAACGCATTTTCAAGAAGAAGCTTAAAATAACGAAACAATAAATTTTTATCTTTCATACATCAAATTTTGAAATCTTTGCATTGTGTGATAAAATTAGTACATTCAAGAAATAAATCTGAGGAAAATGGAAATATTTACCTTAGTAAGATCTTCAAAAAGATTTGAGCAGTACAAATCACAATCATAATTCAAATAAATTTCCGTAACCAGTCCCGCTATACGCCATAATTGCACAATGCTCTCCAGTGCCATTTCTTTCTGTTCGTAACTAATACGAGTCTGAAATAACGAAAAATTCTATTTATATGCGCCAAATCTTCGAAATTAAATATTGATTTTCATGCCAATTTTTCCAAGTAAAAGCGGCATTGAAAATTTCAAAATGATCAAAGCAATATAAAATACATAAATACCTGTTCACTGGTTACAATTGATTGTAATTTTAGGAAATACATTTCAAGTTGGAATTTCAAATCCGAACGAAGACCCTCAAACAAAAGAAAGCAGACACGATTTGCCGCAGCAAACACAGGTAACTTTTCGGTATCCAAAAGCTAAAAACAAATTTGTCTGTTCCAAACCATAGCATTTATTTTTATTATATTTTATTTATTTCATATATATATAAAGCTATTATGGAATGTGATTCGAAGGTTTCTTAACGAAGTTCCTCGAATGCCATATTACGTTTGATCGAAATTATTGGTTATAAATGTGAACAAATAATCATTCGCAAATTTGTGAAACAATGATTAACAGTCAGCTATCTTTTAATTCCTTGAATTACGATTTAAATTATTAAATTGAAGATAAATAATACTTGCAACAGCGCACGACAGAGTTCATCTTTCATCAGCGGCATCAGTAACGAAAAACTGCGCACATGATCTGCGCCAGCTTCGAGTGCAACAGTGAGCAAATTTAACGCCATCAAAATCATTGATTCCGTATTGGCGCGATCCAGTGGATTAATTAGAGCAATTAAAAACCTAATAAAAAACTTGAACTTCAAAATCTTTAGCATAGCCCATACTGAAAGCTACAGCTTCCTTGTTTTCTAAAAATGATAAGATGGTAAACCAAGCAGCCCGCTAAAAATGTGAAGATTCCATGACCACATAAGCATTTCTACTTTATACATGCTCAAATGACTCATTGCAACTATTCCTGGACTCTAATTTGGTAAATTCCAACTCACCGCTGGTTCAACTTATCTACTTTTTATCCTAAGACACTTGATTTTATTAATATACCTCAGCTTTTATAATTAGAAACTTCTATAACCAGAACCAATAATCAGTAATTCTGCCTACTAACCTCAGTAGTTCACGGACACATGGTATACCGCATGATATATGAGCGGTTGAATTTGAAGCAACTGTCTCTGTGGATGGTATCGGTTTTTCATCATTTAATATAGAATTTTCCTAAAACCAAATAATCTTAATAATTTCATAGATTCATTGCAAACATTTCCACAAAAAAAGAGATACAACTACATTTTCAAAATCGGATGCTGACTTTACCATATCTTCAGGATTTTTTATCCTTTTTCTGACCACTCGTCCCTTCTCGTTATTCTCTTTTTCGGATGAAGTAGAACTCTGAAAACCATTAAATCAACAGCAAAAAACACAAATGAGTTAATCGAAAACTTCCCACAGATCGTCGTCTGTCGATCAATATGTGATTAAAATACTAGAAATCAATAGCATTTCGAATGAAAGATTCTCTAACTAACATCATCATTGTCTGGCATAACACCATCATCTGAATCAAGTCTTACTGTTTCGAAAGGTTCACTAGATAGTACACTAGCAATAGTGGTGCCATTAACAAATTCGGGCTGTTCTGTCAAATGTTGATGAGAGTCGATACCAACTATAAAAAAGACAAACAAAAATAAAATCTTGTCAAAAAAGACAAAATCAATAAAACTTTTCGAATTTCAATGATTTCATTACTGCCACTTCAAGAAAAACTTTTACTAAGTGACGAAGTGACTTAATCTCATGTTTGACAATTCCCCATCCGAAACCAAAGCAGAAACTTGATTTTAAATGGCAACGTTAGAGGAACTGAAAAGAGTTCGAAACTCATTTTAGAAAATACATTATGTAAGTACATAAATTTCTCGGTTTTTCTAGGACTCCAGAGCAATCACCTACGATGATTCCCGATTATATATTTTAGAACTTTACTTGTTTCGGCTCTATCGATTACAGCAACTTGAGGATTATCGCTATACAGCTTTCTATCCTTACTTTGCAGAAGTGGCACTATTTCGATTGAATTTAATAGGTCAGCCTTTTGCGCCGATCTAACGCCATCATCACTTTCTTGCCTATTTTCTTCTTTCTTCGACTAAATTGCGTTGGTGAAAAAAGTAGACGCTAATTGAGAACATACAATTTCAAAAATTATAAGAGCAATTTGAGGAATTATATAAAAAAGTAGCACTGAATGAATGATAGTGTTTAATATCCAGTCAAACACTTCAAATATCAAAAAGGAATGAAATAAAAGTGTATCTAACTTGTCGAGGTGCTATCATATCATTTTCAATGTTATCCTTTTCCCCTTTCTCATTCTTTACAATATCACTGAAGTAAGTTCTTCGTCTCTTTCTCTTTCCCGCCAAATGGCCGGCACGTTTCATCTGGAAAACAGAGACCAAAATTAGAACTCGCTAAGGACGGAGCGTAAAAGCGAAACACTTCAAAATTATTTTAAATTGAACTGCCACAAATTAAATAATCCCTTCGAGCCTTCAGATAATATTTCTGAAATCATATAGAGACGGCCTAATACTGTGCACAAATTACCATGATAACAATTTCATTCTATATCCTTACCTCGAAAATTCTCATAAATTTATGAGTTTAAAAAAAATTTCAAGGAGATGAACAAATCACCGCTGGATGTCACTAACCAATTTTGATTTTAAAGTTAATCACACTAATATCAGGCACATACTCTATATCGAGGAATCTGAGAAGATTTAACAAACAGTACAATTCGAAAATTACCAGTTTCCGAATGTAAGGATGACGAATATCTTCCTGAAATGTAGGCAACCTGCTGAATAATAGCTGAGTCATATCAGATAAGGTAGCTTCAGCAACTTCACGTAAAAGTTCGCTCAAAGCAGATTCGAAACTGATCCGAAAGCAACTTTGCATCATTTCACAAACGCTTTCATTGGACAATAATTGCCCAACTGATGTAAGCATAAGATTACGCAGCACCTGCAGAAATAAAAGAAACTAAAGTTTTAAAAAAAAAGTAGCAAAGGCCCCATTTGAACTGAAAACTTAGTATCATTATATCGAAAGGCTTGACAAGTTAACCATTTTTTACTTATAGTAAAATTGACAAGAGATTCTTCCTGAAGAAGTAAAATTTCTCTTTCAAAAACAATAAATTCAGATAACCTGAAGAATTTTTAGTAGAACAACTTCATCTCTACCACTGTCAGCACTACCAATAAATTTTGCATGCGTTACAGCATCCGCAATATTTTCTACCGCATTTGATGTTTTGATACTATAATATTTACAACCACAATGAAAAATGAAAATCTTGTGCAATGAAAAAATAAGTCATAAATTATCGGAAAAAATATGAGAACTGAACTTAGAATAAAAGGTAAAAAATAACCTCGAACTGTCAATTAATCCATAACTAAGAAATTTTGCAACGGATGATAAAGCTTGCGCCGTTACTGGACCACTAGTTTGATCAGAACGTATCACATCCAGAAATGGAATTAGGAATGTGTCTGGATTCATATCCGATAAGTCGTTTACCTTAATTAGAAGTTTACAATAGTTTACGACATCGGAAAGGTTATACTTATAAATTTTGAAATTTAAAGAACATAAAAAGCATTCAGCATAAAAAATCATGAAATCGACTTTGTAAACGTTTTAACCGCTCGCGTATAATTAAGCAACATAATAGAAGTGACCTATAAAAAGGTAACAGAAAGGAGGATAATGATCTGTAAAGAAAACAATAAAGGTAAAAGGATGAAGAAAAAGACATGAATACAGACTATTATTATATTCAACTATTATTTGCCCATCAATTTTCATCGTTTTGCTTCGGTATTCACGCAAATGATAATATTTAAATAAGATCTGGACATGTTTGAAAGAAAATTGTAGACTGAAGAGATGACTTTTCGTCCTCTCTCCTTTTCTCTCGTCCACCTCTTTGTCAATAAAAGTAAAAAAAAATGAATGTACAAAATGAAAAAAACGAATTTGCTGATACAATTTCTTATTTACCAATTTAAACCAGAAAATACTCAAAATCGGAATTCAGTTGGTCACATATAGAATTTCAGACATGCACACTTACGGAGTTGAAAACATCCCTTAAATCTGCAAAATTCCTCAACAACGGGTCGGTTTCATCAAGCAATGAATGTCCTAAATGGATTTGTTGATGATGCGACCAGTTTCGATGTGCTTTTTTCAACAGTGCTATCACAGCATTGGCTTCACCCTGAACTACGTATAAACCATTCACTGCCATAGACTCACCATGCGGTTCAGGTTTCACAAAATCAAAGATTTATTGGTTGATTTACCTTAAAAGTTTTTTTGTTACACTGACAATAAATTAAGCATATAACTAACGCATAAACAGGTAACAAGATGTCGAGAAACTTCATACCTAGAAAAATTACATAGATGTTGATAGGCTGTTTATGAAGAACTCAAAAATCAAAAGCTGGTTACAAGTATCATCATAAACACGCTGGGGTTATGATATATTGGAATTTCACCCATAAATATGACCATCAATATAGGAAAAAAAATCAAAAAAAGTGGGAAATGAAAAAATACTCAGAGAATATAGATAATCATTATTTGATACATTTAGAAGAGTAGGAAACTAAAGGTCATGCACATGCTAGAAAACGTCCCACAAATTCTTGTATATTCACAAGGGCCACAACGAAATGAGTCAAATATACGTCCGAAACCTTTGGCAGACCATGCAAAACGAATTTTTGACTATAGTGTTCATCGATAACATTAACAACAACAACAGCAATAATAATTATTATTAATAATAATTGATAACGATAACAATTAATAATAATAATTAACGGCAATAATTGATAATTAACAATAAATAATAAATTATGATTACTAATTAATAATAAATAATGAATAATAAATGAATAATAAATAATAAATAATAATAATAATCAGCTGCAGTGAAACAACGAAATTTTCTATGAAAGAATATATAAGCGAAGTAGAAGTTAAATGAAATGAGGATTAGTTTCCGTTTTTCATGAAAGCTACTGCTGCGATAATAACCAGACGACTGTTGACAATCATACCGAATAACCGAGTTGAACTTATAGTGTTGCAGTAATCGAATATTTCGGTCCAGAATTTTTGCTGTTGTGAGTTCAAAGTAAAATTTTGGCATATCATGAATTTCCAGAACAATAGGAGTATAAATATCAATGGTAGCAAAGTTCAACATCATAACGGGGGCAAATATGAAATTGTTGGGAAAAATGGAATGTACAATATTTGTGCGCAGAGATAAAGGGAAATAGTATTAGTAACAGAGGAACTGCCATGGAATTTAATCTCGGTGATAACTATGACATCTGGACATCTTTAAGGAAGCTTACCAATAACTAATACGACAAATGGAAAAAAATAAAAACAAGAAATAATGTGAAAATCGCTTTCTCTTCAACTATCGTTATGAAAACAGAAAGACGACACTAACATACCATCTTGACGGTAATACCGTCTTGCGTAAAAGAAATATGATAAGAATGCCCGC